TAATAATCAATAATACAGCTATAGCATGTGTCTGTCTGCCTGTCTTTACACCTGAATGTCTTTGAGTGTTTAATCACATTCACATTTGGCAGATTATGGAGCCAAATGGTGCTTTAAACTAGATAAACATTACATGTTACAATCATTGTTACTTAATGCTGTGGATGCATTTATAAATAATATCTATTTTTTTCTCTTATGTGAAAACCGAGTTAGAGAAAATCAGAAATTTCGATATTTGTTTGTCATTGTTACTTAATGCTGTGGATGCAATTATAAATAATATCTTTTTTTTCTCTTATGTGAAAACCTAGTTAGAGAAAATCAGAAATTTCGATATTTGTTTTCAATTACTTCCTTTTGCAGTCATAGTAACTAGCTTCAGAATAATTGTATGAACAGAATCTATTTGGAAACTTTCTCTGTCCATTGCTCAATAGTTCGCAAAGCTGGCTGATAGCTTGTCACCATTAGAAATAGCCCCTTGAATGCCATGCCCGCTCTCAGTTTAAATAAGAAATTCCATTGTTTTTCCCATAAGGCGTCTCCCAAGATGATGCCAAAAATTCATTTGTAGTCTAAAACAAGATTTCCTGTTGACTTCTGGGTTCTTCAGATAGATTTCAAATCACTCAAACTGTGTTGGCCCTTGGTCAGGAAAAGCCGCGAGCTTGGCCGTCTAGGAAACTGCCTCTGGGTAGCAATCGGCCAACCGTCAATGAGAATGTTATTCCAGCTATAAACACCTCTTCTCTTGTTTCTAGGACAAACCTTTGTATGTCTGATTTGCATCTTTCTATGATCATCTTCTTTTCCGCCAGGAAAAAATTTCTGCATTGAAAAAGCAAGCCAACCACATTGTCCAGCAAGCTCAGAGAGAACAAGATCACTTTGTGAAAGAAAAGAATAATTTAATAATGATGCTGCAAAGAGTACGTATTTCCTTTTCAGCCCTGGAAATTTGGGGAAAGTCATTTCCTTCAAAGCAAGTGCCTTTTAATAGTGAGCAGTGGATTGCAATTTAAGAATGACTTTCAAAGGGACCATGTCCACACCCCAACCCCTAAAGTGGCTACATGCAAAGGGATTCCTCCACAACCAGATTTCCTGATATGACCATAGTCTAATTTCATGAATAAGGCACCAGAAATTTGAGTTGAAGGGCCTAGTCTCCCAACTGAGCCTTGCATGCAGGCCAGTACATAAGAAGGTGACATTTGGGATCCTATGAGATGGACCCAGAATGGTGTGCAGGAAAAAAACAAGCCCCGGATAATACATTAAAATATGAGGCTGTAGAGAGGAAAATCAGTGTTTTATATAGAATTATAAGTTCACTCAAAGTGCCTCTGTACCCATACCAGTCCCCGGCAGCGGCTCTCCTCTTGCTTCTTCAGCACCTACAAGCCTCTGAATGGAGCTGTAGTTGACATTCCTTTCCGCTGCTCTAGGGATGAACTCTGCTTCAGCACCATTAGCCTCCCCACCACCGTTTTACCCTTTCACATAACAGTCTAGAGCACAGATTAAATTATATAGTGTAATATGTAAGTGGTTTCTGAAATTTTAGCTGAAAAGGAAAAAGCTTCTTAGGGATAAATTTTTATAAATGGATAAGCACCCTCACAGAAATACCATTTCCTTATTAAAAATACATGAAACATAATTCTATTGTAAAAATTATGGTTCATAAGTATTAAAATTACTTTCCCAAATTGATCTATAGATGCAGCTCAATCCCAATAAAAATCCCAACAGACATTTTGTAGAGATTGGCAGGTTGATGCTAAAATTAAGTTGATCATCATTTACAGAAATACACATAAAATAAAGTTATGTGTATTTGCTGATTGATCAATACAGAGGCTTACAGTTATCCAACCCTGTCATTCCTTTAGGGACACTGGTTCTGCATTCACTAATTCAGTGTTCATGGCAACATAATGGAACATTAACTCTGCAAAATATGAAAATTGCCTGTATATGAAAATGTAAACAGTATAGTATAGCCAAAACAGCTTTGAACAAGAGCACAGTTGGAGAACTTATACTATTTGACTTCAAGGCTTACTATAAAGCTGCAGGATTTAAGACTACTTGTGTGAGTGGTGCTAGCATGCAAATAGATGTATAGATCAGTGGAAACAAACAGAGTCCAGAAGTAGATCCGCACATATGCTAATTCATTTTTTACAAAGGCTCCAAGAAATCTAGTAGAGAAAGGAAAGTATTTACAACAGGTAGTGCTGGATCAACTAGGTAAACAAGGAAGAAAAGGAACCTCAACACCATCCATTCTCACACCATACATATCAATTAATTTGAGGGTGATCATAGACCTAAACTTAAAACTTGAAGTGATAAAATTTCCAGAAGAAATTATAGGAGTGCAAGTGCCCTGGGTAAGGAAAGAGATTTTTTAAAGAGGAAATGGCAAAAAACTTGTATCCAGAATATATTAAAAACTCCTATGACTCAATAATAATACTTAAACACCCAATAAATAATTTTTTTAAAGCAGGCAAAAGACTTAAATATAAACACTTTACAAAAGATATATGAAGTCATCTGAAAAAAAATTAAAGAGCTTTAGTCATCAGGGAAATCCAAGGTGATTAAACTTAATAGATTTTGTGTTCTTTCAGGAAAAGGAAAATCTTTGTAATCTGGAAAAGAAATACTCCAGCCTCTCTGGGGGGAAAGGGTTTCCTGTCAACCCAAATACTCTAAAAGAGGTGAGCTGTGATTTTCATGTCCACTCATATCACCTTAGACATCAAGACGTGCACCTCAGTCTTCTGCGATTAGCGGAACAGGAAAGACATGAGCTTAAATGACTTAGGAAAGTACTCCATGTGTTGATAGCCTTCCTGCCTTTCATTATTTATGCTTTGAGAATTTAAGGGATTATTTTTGTGTCTTATACAAATGCCCTGTGTGTATGTGTTTGTGTGTGTGTGTGTGTGTGTGTGCATGCATACTTTGCTTGACAATGACATTGTGAGTTAACTCAGAGTTTCAAAATATTTAGGTTCCAGAAAAAAACTAGTCTTAAATTCTCTTCTTTCCTTCCTGCAGTTTCCTTTCTCAGTTTTTCCTCTGTTTTATTTTACTTCTAAGTCCCCTAAAACATAAAAATTCCCCATTATATTTGAGAAGATAATCTGATTTCTTTCTTTTCTCTCTCTCTTTTTTCTCCCAAAGTCATTTCTGCTACTTTCCATCTAAATTGAAAAATCCTATTTATATTAAACTATATACACTCTTTATTCCAAACATCCATGTTCCCCCAGACCCTAACACTCTCCTTTCCTAAATATCTTTTTATAGAGCTACACTGCTACAATGGTGACTGTTTTAACTCTAATTTAGAAAAGTATAACCTTGACTAAGAAAGAAAACTTTTTATACTTATATTCTACAAAAAGCTAAAGAAAAAGCTTGCTTCTACCTAAAAATTTGCATAATAACAAGCCCTTTACTTATAAATTGCTTTTAAAAAGACATCAGAGTTAAGAATTCCTGCATAGAAAGTATTTTTTTTTGGGGGGGAGGAGCGGTGGGGGGAGGAAGGGTATGTGAAGTAAATATTCATCACATAACAGGTGTGCTTAATGTGTACCACAGACGCAATTTGTGAACTATTTCCACAAAAGCTTTATTAGATGATTCAGTTTCATAGTTTCTCTCCCATAATTCAGAGCCCGGAACTGGCAGATTCAGTGGACAAAGGGTGGTTGTGAATGCAGTGTAGCCAAATAGAGAATGTTAGCAAGGTGGGCAGGGGCTAGGTCTTATGAGCCATGTTAAAGGAACATGGTTTATTTTCTATGGGTGGGAAGCCCCTGAGTGGTTTTAAACTGGGAGGTGACATCACTTGACATCCATTTGTTAAGCATCACTCTGAGCTGCTCTACTGGATTAGGAGGAGGAGCAGGAGATGCCAGGAAGCCAGAGTGGTGGTGATTGGAATAGTATAGGCTGGAGATGCGGGGGCTCAGAGTCAAGCAATGGCACAGAAATGGAGAGAATTAGCTGGATGCGGATATAGGATCTTGGAACCAGAGGTGACAGTTCTTGTTGATAGACTGGATGTGGGGATGAAGTAAATTAAAGAAGGTGTCAGGAGTCATATCATTATTCCAGTTTGAATAATGAGATGGATACTCGGATAAGAATAGGTTCAAGAGGGAAGATAAGCAGTTTGAGTCTGGACACAGTGAGTCTGAAAGGCTTATAGCATCCAAGGTATTAAGTAGGCTCCAAGGTCTCTTTATCTCTTAGTAGAAGAATAAAATCTTTCCTTTTCTATTAATGAGTGAGTTGTTCTTTTTCTCTGCAGACTTCCTGGTTTCAAAAGGTTATTTGGATTTATTATTTTTATGTGTCTGCAACTCTTTTGAGTAGCTATGTGTTCTCTTTCATGGACCAAATCAACTTGACTCACAAGTTGTTTTGATTTTTTTTCTTTCTGACTTTACTCTCTCTTTCTCACTCTCTCTGTTTTTAAGGAGTGGTAAATTTATATCTAACTTTTAAACAATTCCTACTTTTGACAAGCTTCATACATTTTTTAATAAATTAATTTGGTTTTATTGTTTATGAAAATTCTACTATCAACTGAGAAAAAGAATAACTCAAAAGTTGTTACTCTTCATTTCTGATTCATTATCAAAGATAAAATGAAATTTGGACAACCCAGTTTTTTACTGCCTTTTTTCCATTTAATCTTATAAAACTTTACATAGTATTTATTGCCTCTATCTGAAGTGAGAGACTAATTCAGCAGCATTTTGATACCTACAATTTATAAACAGTCAATTCCCACTTTCTCTACTTTCTCATAATTACAATTCTCGGTAAAGCCTTGCTTTCTAGCCTGGAATTTTTGCTTCATCAGCATAATGTTATTTTGCCTTTGTTTGAGCCATTTTTTAAAAAGATTGATGGGCTAATAGAGGAACCTAAGTGTTTAACACTATTTTACCTTTGAAAGAGATACTATTTTCTACTCTTTATTCTTTTTTCATACTGCTTTATTGGTGTGGTGAAAATCATGATTGGTCTGTACAATTACTTTCCATGAAAATTTGCAAGTGCCTTTTCCTCAAATATAAATTCAGGAGTTTGAAGATGATAGACTTTGACTTATGGGTATTTATGCTGAAGCCAAAATTGAATCATTGAATTTAAAGTAACTGGAAATTCTCTGTCTTAGGGGTAGAGTGGGAGTTGGGGGAGCTGCCTTGAATTGAAACATCCTCAAACTGCAACTCCACCTTAGGATGTTTGTGTGTGTGTGTGTGTGTGTGTGTGTGCGTGTGTGTGTGTGTGTTCATGTGTCTTGCTAGGAGAAGCACACTAGAGGACAGTGTACTTCTTATTCTCATTTAATTGATATGCCTAAAAGTTGGATTCCATTACAAATAAATTATTGTTTTATAAATGACTTAGAGCAAAAACCAGTAGCCCTCAGCCCACATTCACTCACACTTTAATTTATCAGGAAACAGAAGAAGAGAGAAAAATCTAAAAATAATGTGGAAAAGGCTCTTGAAATAGAGAGTGAATGACTACATTGTCAATTTTATATCTCTGATTTGTGTGTGATTTTTTTAAATGTTGTGTAATGACAACCTCATCAGTCAACAAAATGAAAGGTGATACCACCGGGTATTTTAAAATGGATGATGTTGGGTTATTTATAATTTCAACGGGAAAATTGTTTTTAATGTTTGGAATATCATTTTTCATGATTAAGCACTGTAAATCCATTTTAATTGCTGATAACTCCCTGATGAAGCATTTGATAATACCACAGATATCTGGCCGTGCCGCTCTAAGCTAACTCCATTATATTAGAGCATTAATACTCTCGCATGCCTCAGCTTTTGCTTTCTTTGTGTTTAATTTCTAAATTCCTCCTTTTAGGGCTATATCAGTGTAAATGAAATTAATGAGCCATGTGGCAATTCCACGAATCTATCCCCTTCCACTCAGTTCCCTGCTGACGCTGATGCTGTTGCCACTGGGCCTACCACAGCTGTACTGGTGAGCCAGCCACAAAATAAAGAGGTGTGTTGGCATGACATTTCATTCATTCACTGCTTTCCTCATGTCAAAAATTAACCCTGGTTAACTGAAAATGAGGGCACTTGTGACAAATACACGTCTGGTTGACCAGAGGGTCAAAGTGATGTTGAGTTTGAAAAACATACCAATTTGGGGGGACTGCTCTACCAATTGTAATACAAGAAACCATGAAATATATGGGACAGAGTGGACTACTAGAAGTAAGTTCAAAATCATAAACTCTATATCTGAGTACTCTAACCTGATCTAGCTTTCTTAAAAATCAAAAGTCTTTCTAAAATTGTTGGTTTGAATCACCTTTCCAGTTTGATTTTGTTTTCTTTTTCTTTTTTTTAATCCTCACCTGAGGATATTCTTCCATTGATTTTAGAGAGAGAGAAATATCGATGTGAGAGAAACACATTGATTGGTTGCCTCCTGCATGAGCCTTGACCAGGGCCCGGGTCAGGGAGGGCCCTGCAGCCAACGTATGTGCCCTTGATCAGAATCAAACCAGGACCCTTTGGTCCACAGGCCGACACTCTGTCCACTGAGCCAAATTGGCTAGGGCAATTTTATTTTCTGTTACATTTTGCAGTATGGATTTTTTTAATGTTATGTCTTTCTAAAACATCTGGAAAGGGGCAAATAATAATAAGTTAAAATACCGTCTGTTGATCTAAGTTGCTTGCAGGTTGGAGTTTTCACTAGAGGCTAAATGGAAAGATACAGCCTATCATTTGTGATTTCTTGATTAAAATATAAGAAAAAGAGAACAATGAGATTGTTTATTTCATTTCTTTGTCATTATTCTTTCATTTTGTATGGACACATGTATACTTTTTTTTTTCTCCATAAAGCAAAGATCACCTGTCTGTCCTGGATTTATGTTTCCTTCTACCCTTTCTCCTCATCCTGTCACTCAACCTCCATCAGCCCCTTGGCCTGAAGTCATGGCTCCGTCTGTCAATCCCTTCCCTTTAAATGACACACCTCCTCCTCTGCCAGCTAAGAAACACAGAAGGCAGCAGCAGCAGGAGCAACAGGTAATTAGGAACTGGTGTTCAGAGCTTGGAAATCTTACCTTCAACTTTTGCAAAGAAATTTCTTAAAAAAGACAAGGTGCATACTCCTTTGCTGATTTTCTTTTTAAAGGACATTTAGTGAGGCCTAAGGGTGTGGGGAATGTTATACCTTTGGGACCTTGACTGTCCTCTCCTAAGTTTTGATATATTTGAGCTAATTTTATATCCTCATACATTAGTTTTCACTCAACCAAAATATTGTAACTTATCTTGGGTCTTTTCAAAATAATAATTATTATTTCCATAAAACCCATGGTATAAAAGTTGCTGTGTCAACACACATTTTTATACATTATTGAAACCATAATAGACGTCACACCTTTACTCTGTGTCAAAATTTCCTAAACATTTTACAAATAAACTTCTCATTTCTCCCTTCAAATATCCCATGAAATATGAATTAACTGCATATTGACATTGAGGGAACTGAGGCTCAAGTATAGTAAATAGCTTGTCCAGTGTCACCCCAGTAGTGTTTTGGGGCCATAGGACAACAGTTTATATTGACCAGATTAAAATATATATTTTTGTAATTCTTAACGTTGCCCTCCTTTTACGACATTCAGTGCCTATGTATGCTTGTGTTTAGAAAAACCTGTTATGAGCCTCCTTTAAATTATAATCAAATTCCTATGTGAATTGGGCCCCAGAAGATCATAAGGAAGCACAGACACTAGATTCCCCAAAATAGGCAAGCCCTGCTGTGCCGCGCCAGCCCTTACATTTCATGAAGGTTTCTTTACTCTCTGTTAAAGGACTTTATCTCCCCAGTACTTTTAGGTTAGTAAGTATTAGCTACTATAAGTAGATAATGTTAAAGTAAACATGCAGATATGTTTCATAATTGGCACATGTAAAGAAGAAGAAGGAATTTGGTAACTCAAATTTGCATTAATTTTTACATCTTTCAAAAGCCCAAGCTGAGGATAACGATGATCAAACCTACAGAAGCTTTAACTAGGAAATAACTTCACTATTGAAGACTTTTTTTTTTGAGAGGCCAAGGAAATTTTGGATAAATGTCAAGTTGGCAAATTTTTGCCTTAGGAATCTGAAAGGGAAAGAAAAAGGAATAGTCAACAGGAGGGTTTTGTTTTTTTATGTGAGGGATTATTCTAGGGGCTTCTTGGCCAAGATCTTTTTGAAATAAAAGAGTAACCGAGAAGCATGCCTTTTATGGAAACGTCATGCTGATTTGGAGTGTGTTTATGTGACTGAAATATTATTCCAACTTTAAAACAGCTCCCCTGTTTACTTGCTCTTTCTCTCCGTCTTCTTCCTTCTCCCTTTTCTTGTTCTCCTCACACTGGGGGATCTGTGCCACCACACAGAACTGTCCAAACAGACAAGGGGAGAAACTGCTTACTTGCTTTGTCCACTGGCTGTTCCGCCATCCACATGGCGACCATCATAATCATTTGTAAGTTGTCCTGAGGCCCCAAGGCAGCAGGCACTAACTATGAGACTGAAAGGTGGAATTTTTTTTTCCTTTTGTTTCTAGGTTCAGTAAAAAATTCTTCTACTGCCTGTGCATCTTACCGAATGCTAGCTAGCCCAAGTCTGTTAGTGAACACAAGTATGAGTTGGATTTTTAAAAATTTTGTTAAAATTCCCAAACTTCTTGGTAAATGCATACTTCTTAATTTCTTCAGTGACCTGTTGCAATTAGTCAAGTTTTGCTATTCTGCTTTACATTTGCATTTAAAGCACTTTAGAAGTCTGGAAGAAAGGAAAAAACAGCATAAAGAAGGCCTCTATCTGAGTGACACTTTGCCTCGAAAGAAAAGCACTCCTTCCATATCCCCACACTTCAGCAGTGCTACTATGGGGAGAAGCACCGCCCCGAAGGTAGGACATGGGGAGAACTGTGGGCTTCACATTCAGGGAGTCTTCTCGTCCTTATGTTGACAGATGCTCAAAGGTCCTTAAAGAAAATGCTAAATAATAAATCATTAAGTTTGCTTGTTGGGCAGACATTATGACTAAATTGCATTTTCTGTCTTATTCAGAGGACATTTGGAATTGTATGCTCTGGGACCAAAGAACCTGGCCCAGGGTTTTTTCTGCCACCACCACATAAGTAGTAGGTGGCATTCATGTGGCAGACTCCTGTGGCTGCATCCCACCGCTGGAAATTGGAAGATACAAGCTCTGAATTATAGGAATAATAGGACCAGATTTTTTATTGAGTCATTTCTGAACCTGACACTGGGCTAAGTGCTTTAGGTGGATTGTCTTATTTGAAAATCCAGCAAGACTATTCAGTAGAGATACTAATTGCTATCCTCATTGTACATATGGGTAAACTGAGGTATAAAGAAGCTAAGTGACTAGCCCAAGTGCCCTTAGTTGGTTAGTCATGAAGCTGGAATATGAACCATATGGTCTGATGCCTAAACCCTCATTTATGTTCTGCTGATATGCCTGAGGGTCATTGCAGGAAGAGGAGGAAAGGGAGGTGACAAGGAGGCGCTGAGAGGACAGGCTTTGGGGCTCTTCCTTTGACCTTAGTCAGAATCACGTTGTTTTAAACTGGTGTCCTGTTTTATAAACTGGTGTTCCAAGAATATTTTACGTAAAGTGTTTTGCTATTAAAGAGAGTTCTAGAACCACTGGAGGAGTTTATAGATTTCTCCAGGTTTCAGCCCATTAGATAACTGGGGGAGGTGGAAATTGGCGCCTGTGTCACAGGGTAGGTCTGCTCTGTCCTGGTGCATGCCCTGCACGTTCCTGCCCCTGCCTCTGCCCTCTGCTCCTTATGCATGCAGAACTTTGAGTTGCTCTCAATGGTGGTTTTGGAGAACAAGTGTTTCCCTTGTCTTTTGGAATTGCTGCCACTGGAGGAACTACTGTGATGTGAAGACTTCCATGGAGCTCCTTGGGAGGGACAGTGACTGGTCTTTATCACTGAGTATCCACAAACGGGTTGGAAGACCTTCCTGTCCTGCCCTCTGTGCTTAGATAGGCGCCATGGAAACAGGGATGTGGCCGTGTCCTGAAGGACCACCGGGCTGCAGTTTGCCTGAAGTGTTTCCTCCCGGTTCTCGCAGGCTCACTTGCCCCTGGGACAGAGCAACAGCTGTGGCAGCGTGCTCCCTCACTCGCTGGCAACCATGACCAAAGACTCAGAATCTCGGAGGATGCTCAGAGGTATGTCACTTTAAAAATCAAATGGGATGCCTTTTGTTAAGCATAAGAATTCTACAGAGAGAGGAAGGGAAAGCAAGGTTGAGGATCATTAAAAGGGCAGCAAGCAAAGTCCTCGATTTTACTCTTAATGTGTCCCCTTTAGGGAAGAAATAGATAGATAGATAGATGATAGATGATAGATAGATAGATAGATAGATAGATAGATAGATAGATAGATAATGTTATTGTGGTACTAAGGTAACTTTTCCTATATACACATATGACTGGTATGTTTCAAATTTTGCACTTCATAAATTTATTAGTAATAGTATTCTCAAACCAGTAATGCCCCTAGAGAATTGCTAACCTTTGCATTTTATAGGTAGAAAGAAAAGAGAGACCCTAAGTCACTCACCTGGTTTGTGGCTGAGCCACTGTGTTGAAACATGTGCTAAAGATTCATTGAACTGACACAGTAAATGGAGCACCAGTGGCCCAGGACAGACTCCCCGAGGCCTTTTAATGTGGTTTGAGCCTTTCTTCTAATGTGGTTGTTAGGTTTCAGGTAGACTTTGATTCTCAGGGTATTTTATTTCTTTGTAAAAATGCATTGCACTTATAATGGGTTCTCAAATAGTCTTTCTGGGCTAGAAGAAATAGCTAAAATACAGTTCCAACTGTGAGAGTCTTCTTGAGATTAGATTTATTGTGTTAACACAGTCGCTTAGGTCAACTACTTATACTCGTATTGGCCCTCACTTTTTTAAATGTTTTGTTGATTTCAGAGAGAGGAAGAGAGAGGGATAGAAACATCAATGATGAGAGAGAATCATTGATTGGCGGCCTTCTGTACACACCCTACTGGGGATTGAGCCCAGGCATGTGCCCTGACCCAGAATTGAACTGTGATCTCTTGGTTCATGGGTCGACACTCAACCACTGAGCCACACCGGCCTGGCTGGCTCTCACTTTTGAATAGGCAGGGTGCTAGAGACCAAGAATGCAAATGAAAGACATGATTCTTGCCCTAGAAATGCTTATAGTCTAGTGAGGGAAAAAGACACATAACAGATAATTTCAGTAAAATGTGGTAAATGTGATGGAGGTGTGAAAGGATGTAAATGCAGATGCTGATAGAGTGGTGGGCATGTGGCCCCTAAATGTAATTCATGTTCCAGTGGGATTGAATCTCTTCCCTCCAAGCAGGCTGGGATTCCATCCTGACTGCTCAGCCTCTCTGCCAATGGTATCAGGGGATAATCACCGGTTTTCTATCAGACAAAAAAAAAGGAAAAAAATATATACATTTTGGTATGTATATATATATGTATGTATGTGTGATGTGTATATGTATGTGTATAACTTTTGTATATATACATATATATCACTTGAATGAGGTTTGTTTGTTTTTTCTTTCCTTTTTTTGTTGTTAATCCTCATCAAAGGATATTTTTTCCATTCATTTTTAGAGAGAGCGGAAGGGAGGGGGAGAGACAGTGAGAAACAGTGATGTGAGAAAGACACATCAATTGGTTGTCTCCCACACTTGCCCTGACCCGGAGTAGGGGATCAAGCTTGCAACCAAGGCATGTGCCCTTGACTGGAATTGAACCTGTAACTCTTCAGTCTGAGAGCCAGTGCTCTAACCATTGAGCAACAAGCTAGAGCTTGAGCGGGGTTTTTGAATCATTATTAGAAATTAGTTAATAGTTAATAGAGTGTGTAGTAGTCAGAAGAGAGGTTTGTAATGTATGATAGGTTTATGTTACATTTAAATAAAATACATTTGATTGAACTTTTGAGTTTTCTTTTTTAAGTTTTATGTATGGATTTTTAGAAAGAGAAAGAGAGAGATGTCGATTTTTTGTTCCACTTATTTATCCTATGTATGTATTCATTGGTTGATTCTTGTATGTGCCCTGACCAGGGGTCAGACCTGCCACCTTGGCATGTTGGGATGATGCTCTAACCAACTGAGCTGCCCAGCCAGGGCCTGTTATTTTTGTTTTACAATAAGTTCTGAAGCTAAAAATAGCTCTTATGATTTATAAATAATAAACATAAAAGTACCTTTTAGCTCTCATTTATTACTGTTTATTTGAGTCAAGACTATGTTTTATTGAAGCATTTTTCTGCAATATTTATAGACTTCTTTTTAAATGTATTTTTTCTCAGTGGCTGAAGACATCAAAGCTTGGATTGGCCCCAATACCATATTTTATTTTAAAAACATTTTCTTAAAATAGAGAGTAAGGAAAACGAGACCTTTATACTACATGGATTTGTAAAAATAAGAGCTATTAACATTATCATGTAAGATGACCCTCGTGAGAATACGGTGAAACGAAGGGATGTTTCATCTCTAATATTCTAGTCTTTGTTTTCCCTCCAAATAATGGGAATCCCTAAGCTACATTCATACAGGAAAATTGATCTGATTCTCTTAGGTCACCTTAGGGAAGTGCCCTCTGTAAAATACTGTCTTTGATCTTTTTGCTCTGGTTCGTCGCTGGTAGGTCTTTGGTACACCCGAGAAGGCTGCCGCGTCAGTCTTCCTACTGCAGCTAAAGTGGTGTTCCTTAAAGCGTTTCTTGGTGCTGATGAGACGGCTTCTGAGGAAATGGAGAAGCATCGTGTGTGTTGATCCAAATGTATGAGATGTGTCTTGTGAGGCCAGCCTGTCTCCCGTGGCTCCCCCATGTGGAGGACGAGGGGTTGGGGGCCGCAGTTCTTAGAGCCACAGCAGACCTTAAATTTGGCAGGATTTTCTATTGAGCCCATACTGGTGGCCCAGTGACTTGGAGGGTTAAATCATCATTTCATTTAGAATTGTCTCACGAGCACTAAAATACAAGTAAAATTTCATGGTTTTGAAAAAGTGTGGATCTAACACATTTTCATCAACTCAAATGTAATAGATCTTACCATTTTTGTTGACTTACACAGTTAACTTAAATGAACTATTTTTTTGCTGTTTGTGCATCACGGATACATCAAGGACCATGGTGTAAGTATAAGCCATCCCCGCAATCAGCATTGTTTTAATGGAACCAACAATGTGAATCATGCAGACAAAGGTCCTCGAGGGCAGAGTTGAAAGCATTCAACCCAGGAACTCGGCTCTTAAAGTTGTAATGGTTATTGGCTTTTGTACAACTTGTGAACTATTGCTTTTTGAGCTTTAGAATGAATGAAATCTTTGTCCTTTTGTCTTTTGTTTAATGCAGGAAAGTCCAAGAAAGGTATGACAACCTCCTTGTGTGGTGTTTTTGTTTCCAGCTAATAGTGAAAGGTCAATGTGAAGTCATCTTTAAGAAATGATCAGAATTAAAACTATACAATGGCAGATTTTTAGTCTGATGATTATTCCTTTTACACAATGGAGAAAAATCATTGCACCCTTGCAGGGTGCAGCTGCCATTCATTCACAGGCAGCTGCATGACCTTCTTTGTTTTGCTTTTTTTTATGACAAGGACAGACCATGCAGGAAGCGTGAGTGCTTTGGAAGCATTGTTTTGTAACACTCAGGATCTAGAAATAGGCTAAGTGTAAGACATGAGGTTACTCCTTTATAAAGACCGGGTATAAATAAAGCAGGCTGCGTGGGAAGATGGAAAGATTTAAAGGGCTCCTACTTAATCATTCCATGTAAGACTATTTCATGTGAAAGACTTAGTGGAGAGTGAAGAACAGTTTAACCAGCTGGCCTGAATCAATAAGATGTAATTACTGTGGCTAGCTGATAGAGATGTAGGATATTAGGGAACTGAGTTATACAATTTGATGGACACTGCTTCAAATAATTGAATGACATTTTACAAACCTTCGCTCTTAAAAACAATTTGTTAACTGTCTGCATGGGAAAAAATGAACTGTTTTATAGCTATAATCATGTTTTTATTCTCCCTATTTTCTGGTTGACTGATGTATGTGAAAGATTTTTTTTTCCTTAAGAAATCTTTTTTGACTGTGTGCATGTATTATAAGCTTATTGTTTGTGTTTTTTTAGCTTCTTGAGTTCTTCTCTATAAACTCAGATTTAATCTAAAGATGTGAACATCTTGCCTTGTCAATCTGTTGTCGTCACTAACACCGACAATGACTGCATGTTGAAATGTCGTATATTTTTCCTGTCCTCTGGTCATCCTTTTTGATCTTGTATCTTTTTCCCTTTCTCTGTCATTCTCTTCATTCCTGACTTGTCCTGTGCCTTCATCTTCCGGCTGTGGAATATGGTTAGGAAGAATGAATTTCTCAGCAGGTGAGCTATGAAAGGCTGAATTGCCAGAAGTATGGATTGATTTTGTCCTCTTAAACCCAGGTTATAATTTTAAGTCATTTCTATATTAAGGCCTAGATAGGCACTTAAAGTATATACCACACATTTGGAAGATATGAGCAAGACTGTGTATCTCATAGTGATCAGCTCACACAGGACTTCTTAGGTCCAATTACCCAGAATTCACAGAGGCTGGCACTAAAACTAATAATAAGTGGACCTTGCATGTGCAGAATATTGGCTCTTCTTGGGCAGTGAAGAGAGTTGAGTTGTTTGGGGTCCTTGTATGTGCCATGCTTAGCTACTGGTCTCAGATGTCAGGCCTCACTTTATAAACCCTATAAAATGCCCTTTTAAATAGCTTTTTCTATCCAGACAGGAAGGATTTGAAGCATCTACAAGGCCCTTTTTACTTTTTAGATGCTGTCCACTGCTGCATGTTATTCTTGCTTCATAACTCAAAACAAGCAGTCTCAGGGGTTGGAAAAGCCTCGTTTTTCCCAATCCACTTACTTAATTTGGAAAGTAAATGCATTCCACTTCTTTACTTAGCCACTAATTTGGTTGCCATTTATAGATGAGAACATGAATTCATTGAGTGATTCTTTATTTCCTGACATCCATATGCTAACTAAATAGGGAATCTGTGATGAACAGGACATAAGTATGTCCTCTGTGCTACCTCACTGCACCAGCACCACTCAGGCCTCCTACCAGGGTGCCCTCCCCCTCCTCTAATGAAAGTACCTACACCTTTGGATGGCCAAGCCTGAGCCTGAATCCCAAAGCCAGCTCTTTGGAATCGCCCTGGCACAATTCCAGAGCCACAGAGGAGAGCTCCATGGCCTTATTTGTAATAGCAAGGGCAACTTGGTGTGGGTTTTTTTTTAATTGTTCAGGAGGGAGGAGGCTAAGCCAAGTGACAGTTGAGTTCATCGTGGTCAATAAAACATTGCCTGTTGGGAGAAATGAGAAGCTTCGTAAGATAGAACATTTCCATTCACATTGGGTCCGCAGGAAACGAAAGTCCTGCATTGTGAAAGACATGCTCATTGGCAGCTGGCTTTTTCATTTAAGTTGCCATGAAAATGTAAGGATTATTTTACCACTCGAATGGTGGAAGGTTCTCTAAGACATAGAGCCAAACCTCAACAAATAATGGGTGATCTGGGAAATTTACGTGTGCAATCCTTAGCACCGTACACCTTCTCACATAGCTTTTCCTCATGCTGGCATCTGAAAATTTTGAGTAATTTTAGCCTCACCTGAAGATACTAAGTTCATTTGCTTATTCTGTGATACTTTTGGTAGGGGGTTGGGGGTGGGGAAAGGACTCCTGGAAGATCTGAGGAGCAGGACATGCATTGTTTTAAGAAGAAATATACTCACCTTCCTTTCTGCTTTCCTAAGGAAGTGTTATTGCATCATAGGAATTGACTTTTCCTCATTATGAAAAGCTGGAGGCAAAGGGGAAGTTGAGGCATGGCACATGTCACTGCCAAGCAGATAATTCTTGAATGTTTTCAATTACATGGTTGTCTTTTAGGGATTTGTTTTTCATACTAAAACAAGGAAATGTCATCCATGTACTTGGTGTCACTGTGGAACTTTTCTTTGCCAACAAACCTTTTGAAAGCATAGGCAAGATACATGTATGAACTTTTTAAATAATTTCTAGTGAGTTTTTTGTCCTCCTCCTTTTCCTAATGAATAATTTTTTAAAAAAAAATTTTAAAGGAGCAATTAGTAATTCTAAAAGTTCAAATGTCAAAGGTAAATATTTGAGTAATGAATTGTTTGCCTTATATTTTTTAAAGGCACATGCTCCACTCTCATGACTATACTGACTTCATTTAATGCTTTATGCATTAATCACTACAAGTAATGGCAATCTGCCTAAAATCTCATGGTGTGCATTTATATTTTTCATCTTACCTTACTGATATTTAGCTTTAACGTGTGCGCGTGCATGTGTGTGTTGGTATTTATAATTTACTAGAGGCCTGTTGCACAAAAATCATGCAAGAGTAGGCCTTCCTTCCCCTGGCTGCCGGCACCATCTCCCCTCTGGCACCCAGGACCCAGGCTTCCCTCGCAGCCCCAGCTTCATCAGGAAGGTTGTCTGGAAGGACATCCGGGAGGACATCCAGTCTAATTTACCATATTACGCTTTTATTATATAGGACTAGAGGCCTGGTGCATGAAAATTCATGCACTCAGCGGGTCCCTCAGCCTGGCCTGTACCCTCTCGCAGTCCAGGACCCCTCGGGGGATGTCCACCTGCCAGCTTAGGCCTGCTTCCCAGGGGATCAGGCTTAAGCTGGAAGTCAGACATCCCTCTGGCAGCCCAGGAGCCCTTGGGGGATCTCCAACTGCAGCTCAGGCCCGCTCCCTGCCTAAACTGCAGTCAGATATCCGTAATGCTGCCATGGAGGCTCCCGCCACCACCGCTGCACTTGCAGCTGTCAGCCTGACTTGTGGCTGAGTGAAGCTCCCCCTGTGGGAGCAGACTGACCTCCTGCATTGAGCATCTGCCCCCTGGTGGTCAGTGCACATCATAGCGACCAGTCGTTCCTGGCCGTTCTGCTGTTAGGGTCAATTTGCATATTACCCTTTTATTATTATGCTTTTATTATATAGGATAATTATAATTTATACTACAAAAACTTTTTTTCCAGAAGAGGCCTTATCTGAATTAACATATTTTCACTTAGGTACCTAAAACTGTTCCAAATTTTAATGCGTGAAAACTCATAGAACTGAAATCCCTCTATAATAGCCTTTGGTGTGTGATGCTTTGCATCATGGATGTAGCTCTGGTTTTAAATTGAAACGTTTAATCAACAGTGGAGGAAGCTGTTTGAAACCACTTGCCTTCTCTCACTCTCTTGCCGGCTTTTGGACATTTCATTGCCAATTCAAAGCCTCAGTGAATGATAAGCAGAGCACAAGGAAAGAGGCAAAATTCAAATGGGCCAATTGTGTGCTCTTAATAGATCTAATAGTCAGTTTACTCAGAGAAAGAGATTGCAAACTACAGTACTGGCTAAAGCAATGAATGAATATAAGAAATTGTTTATCAGTATGACCCCTGCTTCCTGAGTGTATGGTACATAGAGAATTGAAAGGAAAGAAAAACTTGATTTATGATGCCCCAAATCAGCTACTACAGAACAAGCTGTAGCAATAATGCAAAGTAAAGGCAATGACCTAATTCACAGCTGACCAGGCACCAGGGTAAGGAGAACACCTCTTAGTAATGGTACTTTTGCTGCTATTGATGTAGCTCCTACATTGTCATGTGGTCAATATCACCAACTGATGGAGGGCTGGTGGTTCAGATGAAAAAATAAGACAACTATATCTATAGGTCCTTGAATAATGATGTTTTGTTATAGCATTGATGAGATGCCATAGAAACTTAACTCGTGTTTATATCAATTAGCCTGTGAGAAAACTGGTTTTCGTGTGGTCGTTTCACCACAGTTTCAAGAATCTATCGATGATGTTAGGACTTACTGTATGTACAGTAATTAGGCGGAGTACAACCATTGGAAGGATTGCTGACTCTAAATATTTTAAATAAGTAGTGGCAAATAAGGAAATTTTAAAAAAAGAATGAGAAAAATGTACAGTTTGTCTCTTAACCAGATTGAAAGTGTTAGTGATGATGAGTAAATGATAAGTGTCTCAAATCCTACACCTCAATGATTCACCTGCTCTTTTATGACCAGATCGAGTATCCCTTAAATATGAATATCATTGAAAAGGTGACTGCCCTAAGACCCTACTGTTGCCTATCATTAGGAGTCATTTTGCCCTGACATGAACCCAGCTATTTTGAAAGGATTCAGGGCCTTTCACTGTATTTCTGTTTTGGTTTTCTTGTGTTTCTGTGTGTGCTGATAATATTAGTCTCACTTGTGCAGAGATGTGGGAATGGCATAGGAAAGTGTCAAGTGATCCACTGACAAAAAAAAGATCACTCACAAGACCACTTCTTTGAATTTGGTGCTTGCACTGAGCATGATGCTGTTTCTTTGATCTTCTTGGCTTCAAAACAAAGTGGACCAAGGGCCAAGTTTCATAGGCAGATGTTTTGGGTTGCTAGTTTGAGTCTTATAAGATCTAAGACTGAAAAATGAGGCACAGTAACATATTTATGGCTCTTTCCTCAGGGTATAATCACCAACAGATGAGTGAAGGACAAAGGCAGAAATCTTCGGAGTTTTACAACCGCACAGCATCTGAATCAAATGTCTACTTGAACAGTTTCCACTACCCAGATCACGGCTACAAGGACCAGGCCTTTGATACTTTGAGCCTAGACAGCTCTGACAGCATGGAGACCAGCATCTCTGCTTGCTCACCTGACAATATTTCTAGGTAAGATTTCTTTGTAGGTAAGGTGTCTGGTTTGGAGAAGGACCTGCTGCTTTCAAAAAATAAAGACATCAATTTGGGGCAATGTATGTATATGTACAAACCCAAATTTCTGAGACATAGAGTCTGTAATGCAGAAAGAGTTTGGGTGTCATGGTGGCCTTTAAAGTAATTTCTTTGTATCCTGTGTGACTCAGCCAGTCAGACATCATATAGTTCATCTTTCTTCATTATTTACATTTGAGTTCACATGTATACTGTGTTTCAAAATCATTTTGCTTCTGTTGGTTGACTCTAAGCTTCATTAGGACTGCTTTTGATTAAATAGAGAAATAATTTCCAACAATGGAGTAAGAACTTTGAAGGATTTCTTACCCTTGTGTTTCATTAAAAGGGAGGCTTTAGCTGTTCTGCATATTGAAATTTTTGTAAGGATTTAACCATTCACATTTGTGTTTATACTTTGAGTCAAACAAAATTGTTTTCATGGAATTATGGCTAAAGGCACATCTAAGACATAGATCTAGTCATGGTACCTTTCCTCTTCAAAAGCTTTGATGATGCCCTGCTACCTTTTGAATAAAGTCAGACCCCAGAACATGGCATTCTATATTCAGCCCAACTCCCCATTCATTCTCTTCTCCTGATGCACCTCACAGAGCTTGATATTAATTGACATGGTGATGAATTCTCAGATCTCTGTACCTTTAACCATCTTGGTCCTTGCCCTGGAATTGTGTAGTTTGTTCATTCATTCATTTATAGGCTCCTTCATTCCACAAACACATATGGATTGCTGTACAGTCAGCAGTGGGCTAGAGTCGGTTCATACTGGCTGGCAAGTGCCAAATATGTACATCTCCTTCTAGCTCTGCAATCAGTGATGTCATGTTGGGAGTTTGAGATTGGCCATGGTTGGAATATACATTCCACATATATTAGCAATTGCTACACATCAGGGTTTTTGTTTTCCTCCAGAGAGCTGGAACACCAGCACACCACTGCCTGTAGTCAGCTCATGCTTTCATTTGTTTTATTCACTCAACCTGTACCTACTAAGCACTGATCTTGTCTGGCCTTACAAAATATCTATTCCATCATCATTGCCCCACTCCCATCTGACCAGGAGAAATCCTCCTCATCCTTCACGTTCAAACTTAAGTTGGGAACTCATGAAAAATTTTCCTTCAGAGCTTTTTCTTCTGTATTTCCATCGCACTAGCTATTTTTCTTCTACTATATCACTGATCCCATTGCACTATAAATTTTTTCTTCAAAAATTAATGGGTGGAATCCTCAATGTCAAGGAATATGTCTAATCATCTTTCAATTTCCACACCTAGTAGAGATATTGGTGTATAGTAGGTATTCTATAAGTGTTAGCTAAATAAGTACCTCAGGATGTAATAAAATGGACATATTTTTGATGTTGACATTTTTCTGTGTTTGATCTAGTTAATTGGATGAGAGCATTATGATTTAAACCAAAAGAAATCCCATATTCAATAAACAGTAATTGAGCATTTTTGTGTTTCAAAAGAAAATGTCTAGTTGGATAGCTGCCAACAAACAAGTTTTCCTATATTGGAATGAAGCCTCAGGCTGAGAACAGGAGTACTTGTGCCACTTAAAGGAGACCTCAGACTTCTCTCGGCCCTGATTTGCTAGTCTGTGAAATGGAGGGATTGTTTCTTGAATACAAGGGGAAGACGGCCTTTTAAATATTTTGATGGAAAATTTCCATCATCGGAATATAATTTCATTTTTTACAAAGGTTTCAATAATTTACACCCCCCACCCCCCAAAAATAGCATAAAAATAAAGAAGAGTGACAAAGGCAGAAGGAAAGACTATTAGCAAGTTATACTTAGTTGTTTGGGTTAGTTAGTGTTTCATAAATGAAAAGAATATGAGAGACCCAAATGTCACTAGACATTGTAGCCAGGAAATTTGGGGGGAGAGGGGAAAGAAGGGAAGGACAGATACTATAGTCTTAATAAATAGAGTATAGTGTATTTTAATCCTGGCATTAATGGGCAAAATATTAATATTATTGGATATACCCTATCAGAATAAAAAAGCATTCCTGGTAAAAACAAAAGCAACCATAATTGTATTATTGCTTGTCACATGGAAATGACCCAAATTTAAGGAGGGGATTATGTAATAATAATAATAATAATGAATAAAGTTGTTATTTTTGCTGCCATTATTATTTAATGTTAGAAGGTTTAGTATTTCACTTTATTCAATACCAGAGGCCCAGTGCACGGATTCATGCATCGGTGGGGTTCCTTGGCCTGGCCTATGGGGATTGGGCCCAAACCGGCTCTCCAACATCCCCCGAGGATGGGAGAGGGAACAGGCCAGGCCGAGGGACCCCACCAGTGCATGAATCTGTGCTCCAGGCCTCTAGTATGCATATAAAATCTTTGGTCAATCTCTTCCCACCCTCTTCCGTCCCCACTTCCTCCCTTCCCTCTGAGATTCATCAGTCTGTTCCATGTTTCCATGCCTGTGGTTTCCATTCCTGCATTGAGTGTCTGTCTTCTGGTGGTCAGTGTGTGTCATAGCTATCAGTTGGCCGGTCAGCTTTTATATATAGCTGTTATATATAGACTAGTGGCTGGGTGCACGAAATTCATGCACCAGGGGGAGGGAGGGTGTCCCTCAGCCTGGCCTGCACCCTCTCCAATCTGGGACACCTCCAGGGATGTCTGACTGCCGGTGTAGGCCTGATTGGGCCAAAGCCGGCAGTCAGACATCCCTCTTGCAATCCAGGACCTCCCCCCACCACCACCAGCCTGCTTGCCCCCAACTGCACCCCCGCCAGCCTGAACACATCCAACTGCCCTCTCCTCCTGGCCTGATTGCCCCTAACCACCTCTGCCTCGGCCCCGCCACCATGGCTTTGTCTGGAAGGATGTCTGGAAGGTCTCCCAATGTAATTAGCATATTACCCTTTTATTAGTATAGATTAGAAGATGCAGTATTTCCCTTAAAAACATATATAACATGACTATTTTGAGGAAGACCCGTGACTGTGTGGAACGTTGGGCATCAAACCATCTCACCTGAAGATGCTTGGTAGTCCCTGTGGTCCTGGTGAGGGTGTTGGAGCCATGTTAGTGGGAGCTGACATTCTTAGGACAGAAATCCTAGAGCTTTGAGTAGTTATTCATAAATGACTGTTGTCCAATGTAAACTGACCAATTCGATGTGGTATTTTTGAATAACAGGGCCCAAACAAAAGTCAGTAACTCAGCAACTATTATATAATGATGATAGGGGAATAAAGGTTGGTCGTTAAAACAGAGAATACAAAATGCAGTACTTTAGTTTCCCAATGTAGTAATCATCGAGGGACTGTCCACATTTCTTTGGCATGTTGTACTTAGTTGTTATTTTGAAAGCATCAGACTACTCTCCCCTCTTCCCTAATAATTGTGAACATGTTATAACAATATTCCTATGATGACTTCTTGAAAGCTTGACCTTTTTTTCTTTTTAAGCCATCTTTTTAAAAATATATATATATATATATTTTTCAAACCCAGGACCCTTCGGTCTGCAGGCCAACGCTCTATCCACTGAGCCAAACCAGCTAGGGCTGAGCCATCTTTAATAAATAAATACACTCTAAGGATTTTCCTATCTTGATGTTTTATTCTTCTGTTTTCTACTCTCCCTCTTCTTTCCCTTCAAAATTAGAAGCAAATATGCATCCTTCCAGATCATCACTCCCCACCCCATCTCTCATATTTAACGGAGGTAAACAGCTGCGGCGCAGCAGTGAGTACAGGAAATGACCTAAAAAGGGACCATTTCAGTTATATGTACCAAGCATTACAAGTTCAGATCTGAACACTTAAGTACCAGCAAAACCTTAATTTGTTTTTATTTGCTCATTTGGTTGCTTTTTCTAAGAATGGTTTCCTAGGGTTGAAAACAAGAATGTTCCCATTGAACATGCCACATTAAGAAAATAGCATCATTGCAGAGTGACCATTCCTGGCAGGCAGTTACCTGTGGCCACCGTCATTTTCCATAGTTCCTGCATACAGAACTGACCTGGTAGTGCTAGCAGTTGTGGTTAACCAGGCACTACAGTCAGTCATTACTACCAGCATTTATTTAATTTTTCTGTCAGATCCTCTGAAGGTAAAAAAATTAAAGCCAAAGTAGAAAATGCCTATAAAAGGTCTAGCAGACAAGGGAGAGAAAAACAAGCATGTCTCTTCTGCACCACCATCTACCTTTAAAAAAAATCCATGATACCCTAGGAGAAGCTAACACCCTTTGTTATGGTGGAAAATAAAGGGTAAACATCAGGAAAGTGGGTAATAGGAACTAATGTTTGGAATGTGTGTTTCAACAGGACTTCTTTAATGGGAACTCTGTGAAAATAGGTAGAAAGAAGAATAAAGGACTATAATTTTTCTTTTTTTAAAATTTTTTAAAAATTATGTATTAAAATATCCTGAAATATACATATTTTAAAAAGATAATTGCATGCTGAAATTCTAGTGACATAAACTTAGTCTTGTGGTTTATTATGTCACAAAAAGCCAGTTGTAGAATTACAGAATTCCTCAGACTTGTGGGTACATTTGCCCTTCAGTTTTTGTTGAGACATCATTTTTGCATCTACCAGAAAGTTACTTGAGTCAGGCAATGTTTTTGCTTTTTCAGCATTCTTACTACACTGTAAACAAACATGGAACTAAGAAAGCAAGTCTTGGTCTTAGAAAACAGTAACTGAGAATTGATTCTGCATAAAATCTCTATTCTGCTAGAATTACTGATTGTCTTATAGAACGCAGTGTTCTAAACACCACCTATAGTAATACATTATTATTACTATTGCCATTGTTAACTTTCTAAGTTCTGACCCTGTGCTCATATTTTTTAGAAAATGTTGAGGAAGCTGATTGCTTGTGATAGCTTAAATACCAGCAGTGTTATGTGAGAGAAAGAAAGAAGATTGGGAACCGGATTGAGAGCAATCCATGGCTGAACTTGGTTTTAAAAGTTGCTTTAACCAGAATTTGAGGTGCTTCTAATCTCTTCATTTTAGGCTAGGGTTTATAGTCTGCTTTCTATCTTGGGTAGTGTTAACCAAAGAAGAGGTTCAGGCCCCATAAAAAACAAAAAGTACTTATTTGATCAAAAAGGTTTGCAACCCAGGAGGCCCAGATTCAGGCAGCAACCTCAATTGTGCTCAGAAGAGAAAAGAGAAAGGCAGGGTTTTATAGGGGTGAAACTTACAAGTTGGTTCCCATTCTGGTCCTCCATGAAAATGAGGGAATCTGGCTAACTTAACAGGGATTGGGCAGTTCCAATATGGAAATGAGGGAGTCAGAAATTAGGAGGAGGAAGTAACATCCATACATGTGCGTACAGCAGTTGTCCCAGGATGTTTAAGGCTCAGCTTTGAGCTGAGTGTAGCAACCTCATAGCAGCTCTGAGAACTGAGGCAGGAGATGTGCACAGGCCTCACATCTCAGTGGCCTCCTGACTTTCTTTAAAGTGAATCTCATCAAAGGGTGGCAACATGATATCATAAAGCAGCAAAAGTTTTGCTGAATAAAAGTGACTTAATGTCAAGGAAATATTCAAGTGAACAGTAACAAAAATGTGGCTGTGGAGAACAATTAAGTGTCTATGGATAAAAATTAATTTATATTTTTAATAAAATAACTAAGTATCTTTTTACAGCGGATCCAGCATAGTTAAAAAAAAAAAAAAGTTGACTTTAGGTGCCTAAAATAATGAAGACATGGTCAGTATTAACATGTACTTTCTTCTATCAAGTATTTCCATAAACTTCAGCTCATTTGGCGCAAAAATTAAGACATTTCTGAGAACATTGCCAAATAAATAGATTGGATATAATGGGCATAAAATTAATTAGAACTATTATCAGCCGAAACCGGTTTGGCTCAGTGGATAGAGCGTCGGCCTGCAGACTGAAAGGTCCCAGGTTCGATTCCGGTCAAGGGCATGTACCTTGGTTGCGGGCACATCCCCAGTGGGGAGTGTGCAGGAGGCAGCTGGTTGATGTTTCTCTCTCATCGATGTTTCTAACTCTCTATCTCTCTCCTTTCCTCTCTGTAAAAACTCAATAAAATATATTTAAAAAAAAAGAACTATTATCAAATAAATAGAAAACGCTCCAAAAATTTCTTTTAAAAAAATGAACAGAAATATTGAAAGTTGGATAAATGTTTGAGAACTTATCCCCAAGATAAACCCAAATTGCAAATATATGAAAAACCATGGACTGAAAATATTTGTGTCTGACCAAGTTACTTTCAACCAATTCATCTGGGTAGGTTTCAAGTGGCTTCAGGGTCCTGCTTAGGTCAGTGAATGGAAGCTGTAGGAATATTCAACATGAGAATCATCATTCTAACAACACTGTCCAAGCAAAGGAGTGGATACAGTGACTTTTCTGTAACAATGTTCAGGGCACAAGCTAGATGATGAGTAGGAATGTTGGATGAACCACAGTCTATTTATTCTTTACCTACTGAAGGATATCTTGGTTGCTTCCAAATTTTGGCAAATATGAATAAAACTGCTAAAAACATCCGTGTTCACAGTACTGTTTTTAAGATAAACCACATGTCCTGTGTTACTGCAGTCATTTATATCTTCAGAACAACCTACGTTTGAGATGATCCAAACCTGATTTTGGAAGACCTCAGTAATAATTATCTTATATATCTTATATGAATTCACTTTTATATGAATGTCTTACAAACACAAATTCCTACTGTGTGCCGGGTGCTATGCTATCGGGGATAGAGGCACAAAAGCCTCTCTCTCCTCTAGAGAGTTTGGAAAAGAAGACAAATAAGTAAGTGATTATACATGTGTACATGCATAAGAAACAACTTTGGTTCTCTGCAGCTGCAACATCAGAGTAAATACATTTTGACCTCAGCGACGATTTCTCTTTTCCAAACTATTGAAATAAAATGTAAGCAAGTGAAAAATAGAGATTTTTGTTTAGTGTTAAACATTTCCAAGTTCTTCTCTTTCTCATGTTGTTACCCTTAACTTTTCTTGTCCTCTGTTGTTTTTTTCCTTTACTTGTTTGTGTGATGTCTTTCCCAGGTTGCATTTCTTTTGAAGCTCTTGGATCCCTTTATGCAGTTTGTTCACTTCCAAGTTCTTCTCTTTTTCATTTGGTTACCCCTGACTCTTCTGCAGTGTTCATTTCCTCTGTTTTTTGGTTTTCTCCTTTACTTGTTTGTGTGATGTCTTTTCCAAGATGCATTTCTTTCAAAACTCTTGGATCCCTTTATGCAGTTTGTTCATTGGTATGGCGGGTGGGTATTGTTGATAAAACTGGCCACCACTCTCCCATTGCACCTATAAGAAGTCATTTTTTAATTGGCATTATCATGTAAGAAATAAAATGCCCACAGATGTGAAGGCACAACAAAAAAAGCAGCTAACGACACATATTCCCAAACCAAATAAAGGTGCTTCAAACCATAGGTGTCATTTACCTAAAACTTTAGTGTTAGTCCTGTTAGTCTGTCGACTGAATAATTCAGCTAATGGGAAGGCCTCCCACAGGCCAAAATTTTTAGACTTTGCAAGAAGCATTTTGAAAACATTCTTCATAAAATTTGTTTTTGGTTTGTTTGTGAGTAAAGCATGTTGGCGTTATTTTGCTTGCCCGCATTTTGTCTCCTACACTGAGGTAAGTCAGTATCACCTACGATTTTCAGAGTTAAATTGACTTGCCCCTTCAGACCTTGAAATTTCATTGGATTTTGCCCTACACTTTTGTGAACCCGTGAGTGTGTGTGTGTGTGTGTGTGTGTGTGTGTGTGTGTGTGTAGAGATCTCATTCCAAAACAATATCCTTGAAAGGCTTTTGTGTTTTATTTAGCGCCAGCACGTCAAATATTGCCAGGATAGAAGAGATGGAGAGACTTTTGAAGCAGGCTCATGCAGAGAAGACACGGCTGCTAGAATCCAGGGTAGGTCTCAGATCATGATGCTGGAGGGCAGAGATGTGGGGGTTCAAGGCGCTCTGCACTTGACACCAGGAAGCTGTCCTAGGGCCTCACTCAGTGGTGTGTGTGGTCGTGGAGTACTCACTCAGCCTTTCTCGGCTTCATCTTCTTATCTGAAAACTAAGGGCGTTAGATGATTTCGAAGTCTCTTTTCTGCACTACAATTTTTCATAATTGAAAATAGACATAGTGTTGACGTAGACTGAAATGAATGCTTTGTATTATGTTTTCCTTTTGTTGGGCGCTTTGTTTGCCTGCCAAAGAATGAGGAGGGATGTCATGTCATTATGTAGTCTCCATTCCTTGTCAGCTTGCATTAACTACTCTATTGTAACATTAAAAATCCCTCGTTATTGTGCCTGTATTTCAAGCAGAATCTGAACTTCCTTAGGAATCCCCCAGAATGCCTTCGCATCCTGCCCAGGGGCACCTCCTTTCCTCTTCTAACTGCCCCACGTGCTTCCTCTGTGACCTTTGGCCAGGAAGCTGCAGAGCAACAACAGGAATTGGAAGGACCCATGCATGACCTTCAGTTAGAAGAAGGCAACTGAAAGAAAGGCTAAATCTCATGACCAGCGTTGGGTGACAGTTTGAGAGGCTTTTTATTAGCAATGGGAGAGTCGTGGTCATCAATATGAAATGACTAAATGTACTGATCACCGGCTGGATTTTCACTTAAATTCAGTTGTTAGTTCAAGTTACTGGTTGCCTTTTTGCATAGGATGATTGTGTAAGCCATGTGGGAGGTGATAACGAGTGTTTTAGTCGAGGTCACATATTATAAGAGACTAGGTTATAAACCAGAATTTCTAGTGAGAATTTCCTATTTGATATTAATTGGACTCATTCAAATATAACCAGTATGTCTTAAAATGTATTCTGCCTAATGCTATTTAGGAACGGGAAATGGAAGCCAAAAAAAGAGCTCTGGAAGAAGAGAAACGACGCCGAGAACTCCTGGAAAAAAGATTGCAGGAAGAAACTAGCCAGAGGCAGAAGTTGATTGAAAAAGAAGTGAAAATAAGGGAGAAACAAAGGGCGCAGGTTGGTGTATCAATGTGGATACATAAGAGTATGGTGCCCCCTAGTGGCTGTTCTGTAGAGGAAGGTAATGCTGTGTCAGGATGCCTTCCAGGAATTAGCTCTTGACGTATAATGGCTAAGGGGAAAACGCGCTTTAGTGGGCAAAAAATACCAAACGTGTTGATTTTGAAACTTATCAGGGCCTACCAATCAAATGACACTTTCCCTGCTCGTGCATGGGACATCTGATGGGAAAGACACTTTGTCTTCTACCTAGTTGGGGACTATATTTAAAAGGAGAATTTTTTTTGAGGAGCTTTGAAAAATGCAGCTGGATTTACTACTGAAAGCATATACAACACTCACATTAAAACCTTTGGCTGAGGAAGAGAAGACAGCCTATTAAGGCATCTTTTGGAAGCAAATATGCCAGAAGAGGGTAATCTTACCAGACCTGTTTCTTGGTGGTAGTGTTAGTGTTCTGGTTTGTTGTTGTTGTTTCCTAACCACTGAATTGTCACACGTGTCCCCTTCACTATACCAGTCCGAATGAAATTACTGAACTCGAGCAAAACTTGGGGAAACCACCCATTCTGTTTAACTTTCTATCTTGGTCATCTTAGAGTTTGAATTTCTGGTATTGTCACTAGAGCTGCTTACATAATGTAAGTTTTCTGAGAAACTCAAATAAAATTGTGTTAAGTCCATGTAATTTGAAGTTCAAATCAGTTTTAGCCGAAACTGGTTTTGCTCAGCAGATAGAGCGTCAGCCTGCGGACTGAAGGGTCCCAGGTTCGATTCCGGTCAAGGGCATGTACCTTGGTTGCGGGCACATCCCCAGGAGGAGATGTGCAGGAGGCAGCTGATCGATGTTTCTCTCTCATCGATGTTTCTAACTCTCTATCCCTCTCCTTTCCTCTCTGTAAAAAATCAACAATATATATATTAAAAAAGTGGACACCAAAACACATATGTATACACTTTAAAAAAAAAGTTCAAATCAGTTTTACCAAAGTTTACTAGACTTAAAGGTAAAAGGCCCCATTTCCCTGATTCTTTGTCGTTACTGGCAGTTGATAGTACAGCAGTGAGAGACTTTCTTTACGGCTGCGCGATGCACCGAAAGTCTGTAACAACTGTTTACAAAGTATCACAGTCTCAAAGGCAAAGCAGGAGAACTACAAAGTGAAACATGTTCATTTTATTTTATTAAGCCAAACCTCTGCCAAATCTTGATTCACCGTTAAGGTATCTGAAAGCCAAACCAAAAAGCACAATTCTATTTTAATCCTAATTATAAGGTTTAACCAAGTATATGATGAGGTCATTTTCCCCAGGGTAAAGGAGTGGGTTAATTTAACAGGGTAAAATAAAGCATTGTTTTAGAAGCATTGCCCATGGTGATCTGTGCTTCCTAGGTTAGACAAACCTCTTCTCCAGCCACAGTAAAATAAAGGACATTTACGTCTATCTCTTCGGTGTCTGGTCCTGAACAGCATTTTGACTCCACTTCTCACCTTAATTTAGGTTCACTTTGCAAAACATACATCTCTGCCTTAGATTTCTATGGAAGCCGGTGTATATAGATGAGGGGAATCTTGTGGGGTTTGTACTTACTAAAGAATGTTCCATCAGTCGTGTCTGAAATTATTTAAGAGCTACTGTGAGGTGGTGGTGGGGAGAACTGGAAACTTTACAGTGGAGGAGTCCTCATCTGTAGGAAGTTGCTCAGGTAACTTCATGTTTCATTTCTCTGTGTTTTTTAAGTGCTAAGTACCTTTTTTGAATGCTAATATAAATGACATTTTCCCATTTTCTCATCTGTCCATTTCTCTAGACATAGGATCTATTGGCCTGGGTTTACCCCCTAGTTCTCACCCTACCCCCCACAATATTGTAGCATCCTTCTTAAAATACTACCCACTTTTTAGACGCCCATGTGATGAATTTTAAGTGCTGCCCTAACCAGTTTGGCTCAGTGGATAGAGCATCGGCCTGTGGACTGAAGGGTCCCAGGTTCGATTCCGGTCAAGGGCATGTACCTTCGTTGCGGGCACATCCCCAGTAGGAGGTGTGCAGGAGGCAGCTGATTGATGTTTCTCTCTCATTGATGTTTCTAACTCTGTCCCTCTCCCTTCCTCTCTGTAAAAAATCAATAATATATATTTTTTTTAAAAAGAATTTTAAGTGCTCATAATCACATGGGCATTTTAATGCTTAGGCTTTTCAGTTGTTTTCTGCTTCTACCCCTCTGGTCTAAATGAAGCAAATAACTAGTTTCAGATGCAATGGGTTTGCCCTTTTCCAGGCTCGACCTTTGACACGCTATCTGCCTGTCCGGAAGGAAGACTTCGATTTGCGGAGCCACGTGGAGACTGCTGGCCACAATATCGACACCTGTTATCACGTATCCATCACAGAGAAGACCTGCCGAGGATTCCTCATCAAAATGGGCGGAAAAATTAAAACTTGGAAAAAACGTTGGTTTGTTTTTGATCGGAACAAGCGCACATTCTCTTATTATGCAGGTGGGTGATGGGAAAAATCTAAACAATGTATTCAAATTAGGAACCCTCTGTTAAAGAGTAAAAACAATAAAATTCAGTATAAATAGTGAATTGGTAAATAATAGAAATAATGGCAGTATTAACTTTGTAAATGTATAATTATTTTATGTTCAGATTATATGGTCCACGTGATGTGAATTTCCTCTTAGAAATAATAAAAATCATGTTTTCTAAAAGTATGAAATAACCTATTGTAGTTCTTAAATAATCTCAAGTCCAAATATATATTAAATGGACTATATTTTCGAGACCAAATTTTCTCTTCTTAAACCATGAAGCCAGAAAAAAAAAGGTTTCTATTTACTTATTTATCTATTTATTGTCATATGCCCTATTTAAGTCATAGGCAACGGTAGCTGACATTCAGCTATAGTTTATAAACTGGAACGGTCTTTTTATCTCAGAGAGTAAAGCTTATCAGTGAACTAGTGAATAAGTATTTATTAAGTGACTGAAATCTTTTGAATGCTCTAAATGATGGATTATGAGAAACACACCCTACATCATCTTCCATAAATACAGGAATATTAGTGTGACTGCATACTTATCAGCAAGCCTCTTGTTTACTCTTGATCCATATGAAACATGTCCATTTCCACCACAGTAAACTCTGGCCTCCTTTCAGCTCTGAAGAAGGGGGGATCATCCCAGAGGTTATGAAAAGACTCGTTTTGTGACGACTGTATCAGCACTTAAAGCCTTGTCAGGAATTGTTTTTAAAAAGTATGTATGTGATAAGTAAAAAATAACAGTTCAGCCATTTAATCTATAGTGTGAGGTCAGGATATGTTATGAAGAGAAGTATAAAAACCAAGAAGTATGTGAAAGAAATGAAATACTGGCTGTGGAGCCACGGAATTGGGGTGAGAAGAAGGTGGGGGTATGTGCCTTTCATAGGAGCTCTTTGAGTGGGGTTCCAGTTACTACGTGGCTAGTGGCCTGACCTTACAGGTCCGCTGCTTTGCCTTTTAGGGCTTTATGATCTTGAATTTTATAGAAATCCAAAGACATTCTCTCCAGTTAGTATGATAGAAAAGAAGTATCTGCAAAATGCATTTAAAAAAAAAAAAAAAAAAAAAAACAAACTTTGCTGTGTGCTAGTCTCCACAGGCAACCTCACCCAGAATTTTTCAAAAGTAAAATTTTGAAATAATTTCAGACAAACGGTTTCATTCTTCTTTTCTCTGGGATCCTTACTTCATTTTATCTGTCAGGTGGGTGGTTCAGTGGCCCTTCCTTCTGACCCATGGAAGTGAGTTTTTCCAAACTTAAACTTCTTAGTGACTGGTTTCCAATTTTTTACAAACCTCTTTGGTATATGGAAAATTACTCAGAATAAAACAGACATCATATTTAATGCAGCTTTTTAATATTTATATATTCTATAACTGACTGGTGGGACCTAGTTTGGCGAACGCTGCCCAGTTGGCTCTGTTTGCAGCCACCATCAGCTTTGATTGCTCCTGCCACCTCCACCCACACTCGTTCCCAAACAGCACCAAGTTCAGGAACAGATCAGTCCACAGGAAGTCATACAGATTGCAGTTCAGGCTGCACTTGATCCCACCTTAGCCAGGCCCCGTTAGCTTATCAGTGAGGTCGATGACCATGGTATGCATGAAGGAGCTGTAAAGGTGAGTGCTGAAAGCTAGTCTTTGATCTCTCTGTTGGCCTTGAACCGGGGCCCTGTCCTTGGCCTCCACATATTAACTGGGTAACTTTGGAAGAATCTCTAAAAAACTGAGGCACAGAAAAAAATGTCTGTAAGTTGATAGGATAATGCTACTGAAACAAAATGAGTAGCACTGCCTCATCAGCTTACCAAAGCATTGTTGATTCTCTTGGTTCATAGAGTCCTTGTGAGGCCTATGGTTTTCAAAGTTCTGTCTCGTGTATGAAGTGCCTAACAGAAGTTTCATTCCACAGTTTTCTGTCTGCTTGAAACACTAACAAGATTTACTTTTATCTTCAGATTTTATTTGGCATCTGTTTTCAGAGAACAAAGTATTATTGTATTCCCATGAATATTGCAGACTCTTTCCAGCAAATGTTTGAGAGATACACTGGGTTAAATACAATTAAACAGCTTTATTTTCTACTGAACTTCCTAGGGGATATTGTTTTTCATACTAGGATTTTATTGTTGTTGTTGGGGGAAGAAAGGGATATTCATTAGTAAAACAATAAAAATAAAATTCAACAAAAATGTCTATAAAGAAATTGCCTCTTTCCCATCACAAAGTTCTAACCTTTTCCCATTATTACATCTGAAATATCCTTTTAGATTTTCTCCATTCATTTTTATATCTCAATTTCAGTATGTTACATGTGTTCTTTCTCCTTTAATACAGTTGGGACCAAATTACACTCTGTTCATAACTTTTTTCACATAACAGTATTTCAAGATTTTTCTCTACTGGGCACATACAAGTCTACCTCCATCCTTTCAGTGGCTGTTAGATTCCATTTTATGGCTGGTCTGTTATTGAATCAGTTCCCTGCTAAAGCTCAAGCAGACTTTGGCAGCCTTCTGCTATAACAAACACAAATCTGTGTGCATGCGCATCAGGAGTTTTTGTACAAAAAGTTTTAGAATAGAATTGCTAAGAGGATGGTTTTGCATTTTTAATTCTGTTTATTTTACAAATTGCCTTCCAAAAAAGGCTTTTTTTTATTTGCACTCCCACCAACAAAGTGTGATAGAGTCTCTTTCTCTGCATCTTCATCATGCTGTAAAAACTTTTAATATGCTCATGTGTTATGATTCTTGATGAATTTAAGTTATATTTCAGGAACTTATTAGATTACAGAGTGATGTTGTTTATTTGATTGGTGGTTTGGGTGTTTGTTTTTTAAGTGTTTTGTTTGCTTTTTATGGAAAATCTGATGAAATCTTAGAAACAGTTTGGAAAATGCTGCATTGAAGGGACATTAAATTATTGATGTTAAGCTTTATTGGGAACAGGCAAATAAATCAAGCATGCTGGACAAGAAATTGATAGAAAAGATATATAAGTAGCATATTATTTTAAAACATAAGTCAAAAAAATATAATTGTTATAAATTTCATTACAACAACTCTGCATATTCATAGTTCCAGTCTAATGTCTTAGAGAATGTGAAGAAATGATTTATATCTATGTCAATGGTGTTTATTCTTTGTGTGTTAATCTGACAGAAGTTCTGCGTTATCTTTTGACTGCTAGTTTGCTGGAAAACCTTGGGCAGTCGCTTAGTCCCTTCAGTTTGGGCTGATAATTTCATCTTTTTTCAATATAGAACCAGGCTAATGCACTAACCTGAAATACCTGAAACTTAGATAATTTTAATATTAGATAAATATTTTAATGATGACTATAATGAATTCTAATTTTTCCTGTCCATTGGTGGTGATAACGTATTTAACACTCATCTATTGTTGCAGACAAGCATGAAACAAAATTAAAAGGAGTAATATACTTTCAAGCCATTGAAGAAGTGTACTATGATCACCTCAAGAATGCTAATAAGGTAAACATTGATTTTCAGGTTCCTACCATTTTTTTTTAATATATTTTATTGATTTTTTACAGAGAGGAAGGGAGAGAGATAGAGAGTTAGAAACATCGATGAGAGAGAAACATCGATCAGCTGCCTCCTGCACATCTCCTACTGGGGATGTGCCCGCAACCAAGGTACATGCCCTTGACCGGAATCGAACCTGGGACCTTTCAGTCCTCAGGCCGACGCTCTATCCACTGAGCCAAACCGGTTTCAGCCAGGTTCCTACCATTTTAATGCATACCTAAATTGGCAAAATATGTGTGTGTGTTATTTGAAGCAATTTAGATTGATTGTTCTGACATAGCAGATAGATATGATCAGAATGGTGTAGAAAAATAACCATAGAAGTAATTAGTATAGCTGATCTTTTTGTGGGGAAAAAAACATCATGGCACAGTGAGGAAAGGTTCTGGACATACCGGTTTGGGGAGACCCTGCCAAGTGATTCTTTGCTAGGGTTCTAAGAACATACTACCTGCTTATGAGGAAGGATCTGAGTAGGGCTGGGACTAACAGCCATTATTTGTTGAGCACCCACCATCAGCCAGGCACACTCCTAGAGCTTTACAGAAGGAACTGCTAAGAGGGTTGGTGAGCTCTCTGTGAAAACTCTTGCGCAGAAAGGCCAGAAAGATAGTCAGTCTTGAGAAAGGTGTTGGGACTGGGGTATAGGTTATACTAGAGCAAAAGTAATGCCTGTGTAGATTTGCATAAATTGGAACTTTTAAAGAGGAAGAAGCCCTGGTGTTGTTTCATGTTAAATTTCAAGATACGTGTATTACATTTTTGTTTCCTTTTTTTTTATTTTTAGAGTCCTAACCCATTACTCACCTTTAGCGTCAAGACACATGACAGAATCTACTACATGGTGGCCCCATCACCGGAAGCCATGCGGATCTGGATGGATGTCATAGTTACTGGGGCAGAAGGCTACACTCACTTCATGTTGTAGTGAACTGGCGCGACAGTCCACTTCAGGGCAGACGGCAATAATCTCTTACAAGAATGAAGCCATATTGTATCCCAGATGGAAAGACCCTACAGACCCATCCTTTTCACTGTGCATACTCATAACTCTTTTCATATTAAGAGGAAGCCATTTGTAAATGAGAAAGAAGGGATTTTAATTCAAAGCTTGATCATAAGTAGCAAAAGAATCAAGCACCTGTGAGAAAGAAAATACTATTTTGGTAAATAGCATCACTTAGAGGAGCATTTCTAATAAACTATTTTTTATCAATCGTTGATCTCGGTAAACTAAACAGTTTACAAAATGTACATACTTGGAAATATGTGATTACTCTAGCACCCAAATCATTGGTATTGACATTATTGGTATTACCTGGCTTTTTAAAAACAGGAGCATTTTGCTGAAGGTTATTATAAATATGAGCACACAGGGCCTTGGGGAAGAATATATTACAGGAGGAACTTTTGCCCTAATTTTTAAGTATTGCACCAAACCAAAGACTTGACATGACCTCTGTTTAATGGTAGTAGTTTCAAGTGATAAACTGCATTTTGTGTTATTCTACACTTTAAAATGATGCTTTGATGCCATCAGGTGCCCAGGCAGTTGACTTTGAAGAGTTGCCACCAGCATAAGCTACTGTATATGTATAGCAAACCATTTTTTGTAAAAGAAGAAAGAACAGAAAGCTGTGTATTTTAGAAAAGAACAGTCTTGGACATATTTTGTCACATTGGGCAATTAAAACAAAAAGACTATTTAGTAACCGGAGCTTGTTTTCCTGAAGATTTCTCCATTCCCAGCACTGAAAATACAGGTAACCAGTAGCCAATTCCTTAGATTGTTGACTTTTCCTTTGTTATGGAGCACACATGTTAATTGCAGCCTGACATGACATAACTATGAAATCAGATTTGTGGTTTTTTAACCAAAGAACAGACCAATGAAAATACTTATTTACAGAATGCTGTAGTTTTATAAAATATCAAATGAAGTTCAATCATGTTCTCTGAAATGTACTATTTTATTATGTATCTCTTTACAATAAGCCTTTGTTTCTTAGAGTTAAATTAATTTTTGGTTGAATTAAATGACTTCAGGCAAGTCTCTTTCATAACAGTTTTTTAAGTGCCATTTATCATGGTTTGTTATGTTGTGTGTTTGTAAGTATGAATGTACTTTCCTAAAACATGGCAAATGAATAGGAGTAGAAAATAATGACATTACTTACTAGTGAAGGTGAAATGATTAGAACTGTCCATGAAATGTTTGTCAGGCCTGACTGGGTACATTTTTTTTACATTTTCAGTGTGTTTTGTGTATATGTATACATACTGCCAATAATAAGATTTTGCAACTGGATGACACATGATTTTACTTGAACAGTAGAGAACAAAATCACGATTGCAGGAGACATTTTTATTATCTGGGTTTGTTTGTTTTTTTCAGAGATCACCCTTAAATCTTGTAATGATCTAAAAAAGTGAATATAATCGCTTAAATTTTCTTGGTTTAATGTAAAGATACAACTTTTTTTGTACTATACTCTCTGCATAGGATTGTAAAGATATTCTAATCAACTTTATACCTTGCATGATGTAGTAAACCTTTTAAAAATGTGTGTCAAAATGTGTTGAGTTTGGATTAAAATGTTGACCAGATTTCAGTCTGAAGATAAACTCATCTCTCATTAGGAAGTTGCCTATTGGTAACCTGACAGGTGTGGCCGGGTGGATTAATCAGCCAAAGTCCATTGTAGACTCTACATAAAGGATGTTGTGTGCTAACAATATGATTTGTGGTTTAAAAACAAGTAATTAGAAGTATCTCTGGTCACATTCCTGTTGTTAACAAAATGAGGTACCCCTGGAACCCCTGACATCTTATTATCTTTTTCACAGATGCATTTAGTACTGGGGATTACAAGGACTGTTTACTTATACTTCTATATGACAAGGAATCAATCACACAGGTGTGAAGTAAAGCTCTAGGGCTCTATTACATGGGGACCTCATTTGTCTCCCTGAACAAAGGAAGCAGGTTTCAGAGAGAGAAACTGCCCTCACCAATACGCTCTTTCATCCTGGTTAATGAAGGCAACGTTTACAGTAGGTCAATGGAAACAAGTTTGCCTACTTCAAATACATCACTGTCAGTAAAAGTATCTTTATTTGACAGTAGCCCCAATTTTTTTCTGATTTGTTAGACAGATAAGGGTGTACAGAGGAAATGATCAATGGATTGTGTGCAGTGTTTTTTCCCACTATAAGGACAAATCAGGGTGTTGTTGTTTTTTCCCCATTTTGCTGCACATCAAATGCAAGACCTGCAAAAATATAGGAAAAGAATAGGGACAGGAATGATTGAGAATTTGTACAATTATCCAAAAACTTTGAGGATAAGTATGTATTGTTAGGATATGAGGGATGGTGCAGTGGTGTGCATTGGGCATTGCCATATTAACTTAGTCCCTCTGTAGTCTACAACAAGCCTAATAAGAGAACTAGCAAAATAACTTAGCAACTTTCAAAGTTTGTCCTGAAGTCAAGAGGCTGTCCTTGCTCTCTGTTTCTGGCCTTACATTTCTCAAGAAAGATATCTGTTCAGTTTCTATTTAGCTAACTTTTCCAGCTAAGTTTTCTTTGGTTCTCAAGACTCCAAAGATAGGCTGATTCACTTTTTCTAACCTTTGCCTTTAATTCTAACTCAGAATCATTGCTCCAATATTTATGACCAAGACATTAAAGTAGCTTTACTCAAAGTATATCAACCATAGTGACTTTTTAAGTAATGGAAAATAAGATAAGGCCTTACTTGTTGATGCTTGAGACCCTCCAGAATTACATTAGAGTGTCAGAGCTGGAATCCAGAAATCCTTTTACCACAATTTAACCACTAGAGGCCTGGTGCACAAAATCTGTGCACTTGGGTGGGGGGAGGGTCCCTCAGCCTGGCCTGCGCCCTCTCACAGTCCGGGAACCCTCGGGGGATGTCCAACTGATGGCTTAGGCATGGCAGTTGGACATCCTTTGCTCAATTGGGGCTGGAGAGGGACACGGGAGGTTGGCTAGCCGGGGAGGGATCGTAGGAGGGGTCCAGGGCATGTCCAGCCCATCTTGCTCAGTCCTGATCGGTCAGACCCCAGCAGCAAGCTAACCTACCAGTCAGAGCGTCTGCCTTCTGGTGGTCAGTGCACATCATAGTGAGCGATTGAGTGGCCTTAGCATATCATTAGCATATTATGCTTTGATTGGTTGAACGGGTGAATGAACAACTGGGAACTTAGCATATTAGGCTTTTATTATATAGGATTTTTCTATTATTGGCCATTTCATTTTTTTCTTCTGTTTGCTTCTAAAACTGATGCTGTAGTTGCCCTAGCCAGTTTGGCTCAGTGGATAGAATGTCAGCCTGCAGACTGAAGGGTCCCGGGTTTTATTCTGGTCAAGGGCATGTACCTCAGTTGCAGGCTCTTCCCCGGCCAGGCCCTGGTCAGTGCTCCTGCAGGAGGCAACTAATCAATGTTTCTCTCACATCAATTTTTCTCTCTGTTTTTCCCTCTCCTACTCTCTCTAAAAAAATCAATGGAAAAATATCCTTGGGTGAGGATTAAAAAAACAAAAAAAACAAAAAACTAGTGCTGTGGTAATAATATGAATCCTTATGTGTTAATATTGTTTTCTATAGGATAGTCACAAAATGGGGCCACTGGATCAGGAGTGTTGAAAATGATACGTACTTTAAATTATAAAGATGTGGTCATATTAGTTGACAAGAGTTTAGCAATTCACATTCCCACCACCCATATATTTGTACCAGTTTCCCAGGATTCTTGACAATAATTGCTGTTTTTAATTTTTGCCAATCTGATGGGTGGGGAAAGATGGCATGTTATTTTTTTTTAATTCACATTTTCCTAGTGAGGTTGGACATCATGTTTACACATATGAACTGCCTAGTCATAGCCACTGACCAATTTTATTGGAATTATATTTTTTATCATTTCTAGAAGCAGATTAAATAGAAGTATTCATGTTCTGTTGTACTGTAAAATAAATTTTTCTAGACTCTCATTTGACTAGAGCAGGGGTGGGCAAACTTTTTGACTCCAGGGCCACAATGGGTTCTTAAACTGCACCAGAGGGCTGGAACAAAAGCATGGATGGAGTGTTTGTGTGAACTAATATAAATTCAAAGTAAACATCATTACATAAAAGGGAACGGTCTTTTTTTTTTTTTTAGTTTTATTCATTTCAAACGGGCCGTAGTTTGCCCACAGCTGGACTAGAGGCACCTTTTACCATTCAAAATGTTTAGGCCTAGCTGACATGGCTCAATGGTTGAGCCTCGACTTATGAACCAGGAGGTCCTGGATTCGATTCTGGTCAAGGGCACATGCCGAGGGTTGTGGGTTCCAACCCCAGCGGTGGGGGGAGGGAGACAGGAGGCAGCTGATCAATGATTCTCTCTCATCATTGATATTTCAATAACTTTCTCCTCCTTCCCTCTCTGAAATCAATAAAAATACATCAAAAATGCTTAAATCTGTATATAGTCAAATGTTTTTATTCTTTATGATTTGGGAATTTCAAGTTTTAAGATTAAGTTCTTTCTACCCTAACCAGTTTGGCTCAGTGGATAGAGCATGGGCCTGCGGACTGAAAGGTCCCAGGTTCGATTCTGGCCAGGCATGTACCTTGGTTGTGGGCACATCCCCAGTAGGAGGTGTGCAGGAGACGGCTGATTGATGTTTCTCTCTCATAGATTTTGCTCTCTTATCGATGTTTCTGGCTCTCTATCCCTCTCCCTTCCTTTCTGTGAAAAATCCTCTAAGAATACATTTAAAAAATATTCTCCTAAATGTACTTATTTCTTCTGTTGAGATTTTTTAAAATCCTCACCTGAAAATATGTTTTTATGGATTTTAGAGAGGAAGACGAGAGAGTTTGTTTTGTTTTTGTTTTTTAATCTAGTCGGACTTATTTTTGCATATAATGTGAGGCAAGGGTCAGACTGACTCAGTAGTCAGGTAGAGGAAAAGGAAGAGCACGAACAAAAGCTAATTTAGAAAGGGGCGGAGGAGGATGAATGTTCTGTTCCACTCTTTAAACAAGTGGGTTTAAGGTCAGATTGTGGAAGCCTTTCCAGTACAGGTTAGAACTGTCAGGGGTTGAAGGTGGAGGAGATACAGGGAGGATAAATGCTGCTGGAAAAAAAATTTCTTTTAAAGTAAAAATGCAAAAAAAAAAACCCTCAAGAGGGTGAGAGCGACTTGTACTGCATCAAGCTTAGCTTTTATGCTTCCACTCCCTAGAGCCCTCAGGTCGATGAGACAGCGGGTTTCCAAGCTCAGAACCTTGGAAAGGTTCCTCGCTGCTTCCAGCCCTGCAATACCTACCTGCCCGCTGAGTCAGTAGCAACCGACAGGTCCCAGAGGCCAACCAACTGCCCCAAAGCGAAAGCGGGCAAGAGCGACGCCGCTTTGCGCATGCGCGCTTCCGAGCGCCGCGAGTCTTCCGGGCGCTCTTTAGCCAATCCCGTCTTCCAACCGGGGCGCATGCGCAGCCTCGCTTCCTCTGCGCCCTGCGGCGTCTCCGTAGGTCAGCGCGGAGCGCAGGGGCTGCTGGGAAGATGGCTGGAGTGGGCATGGCGGCTGCGGCTGCCACGAGTCCTTGTCGGAGGTGGGGCTGCGCGGCCGTCTCCTTCGGCTTTCACCGTGGCCTCTGCACGTTACTCGTTCGGAAGCCCGAGAAGGCTCCACGGTGGTTCCCAGGTTAGTGCCCGAAAGACGGGAACAGAAAGCGTTCTTTCGGACATCCCGGTTTCACCCGTTCCTTTCTGTGCGTTTTGGCGCCCCGTTCAAAAATGTCCTTGTCCCGTTCAGTACCCCAGTCGTGGGCGGTTTCGGCAGTTCTGGCGAAACCTGTGCGAGAGCAGCGCGGCGGCCCGGGGTGTCCTGGACCCGTGGCCCGGCCTCTGCCAGCGGGTGACGCTCCGCCAGGGCCCCGCTCTCCGCCCGCCTCCCCTGCGCTCAGCGCTCAAGAGGGAAAGTTAACGAGCATTTACCGCGTTTGCTTATTAGTTGATTTTTCTTTTTTTTTCTCTGCGGGTTGTAGGGGTTTTTACAGATCGTGACTCTGTGAAGGTGCGTAGACCTGCCCTCCTTGGACTTGAGGGGACTTACAATTGGAACAGTCTCGTTGTAAAAGTGTATAAAGATCGAGCCTTATTTCTCATCTTATTTCACGGATACTCCCGCTCCGTGAAAACCATCATCATTCCTTGATAAAGGACACTGTAATTTAAACCAGAAATCGGAGCCCTTTACTATTTTCTTTATCTTGTGCTTGGTTCCTCCCACTTCCTACTCCAGCGCCACCCTCCCATGTATAGGGTGGCCCCCCAAAATGTATATACACTTAACAGCTGAGGTCCATTGATGTTTTTTTTTCAGATTTCACCCATTGGAATTAATAATTATTCAAAGTGTATATACAATTTGGGGGGACACCTGTATATAGTCTGTCTTTCTAAAGTTTGCCTTTTTAGCTTTTGATTTTGTTTTGTCCACACTTTGGGCACTCAGGTGCATAATTGCTTGGAATGGGAATTGTCATTGTAGATACTCTTTGTTTTGAGTTAAAATTTTTAAATGTTTATAATCAGTTTAACTTGCATTTAATTGTGCACAATCAAAAGACTTGTTATATGTTTCTCTAGCGTAGTGTGTCATTTCATTAACCGTTAAATTTCATTAAAGAAGTTCCAGTTCAGCTATTGAGCACTGAAGCACCAGGCTTTGAACGAATTCTTATTGTACAAAGATCCTTTATGGATATAATGTTAGCCTGTCCACTTAAAACTTACTGAGGTTAAATAAATGATTGTCTCCGGGAGACATTCTTGTGTTGGGAAGTAACATTAAGAGGATAGGGAGGATTTTTGAGTGCTGAACGAGGGAAACGGGAAATGAACATTTCTGCTTATACACTCTGCCAACCAATGTAACTGGCTCCTTCTAGCCCTGCTTTTCACTGAAAGTTTTAAATTTGGACTACTTCACTATAAAATGGAAACTTTGAAACAAGCTTACATGTAAAAGTAATAGTTTTAAGGTCTCCAATTTAATTTTTTAAAATCAACTTTTTAAATCCAGAATGAGGTAAACTTTATCAGCTCACATGGAAGAGACTGACAAGTTTTTGTTAGCCACAGTAAAGGAGAGGAAGGTTTCATACGTTTTTGAAGAAACAGGATTGGACCTTACTCAAAGAAGGTACTGATTTTGAACTGAAGATATGCAAAAACTTGTCATAGAATATGCACAGACGAATAGAATACATCAATGTTTTGTGTTTTCTATTAAGTGGAAATAGTATTTGACATCAGTTTGACAAGATAAAGTTAAGATTGAAAAAATATATATACATATATATATGGTTTTCCAAAAACTGTATTTGCAAACTATGGTTTATGTTTTGTGTACTTTGTTTAGCTTGCAGACAAAAGGCATCAGTCTCTTTCCTTAGTCGACCAGACCTTCCAAAACTGGCTTATAAGAGACTAAAAGGCAAAAGTCCAGGAATTATCTTCCTCCCTGGCTATATTTCTAATATGACTGGTACAAAAGCATTGGCGATTGAGGAGTTTTGCAAATCTCTAGGTCACGCCTATATAAGGTAGGAACAACACATTTCAGAGAAAATATTACTACCATTTAGCATGGCAGTGGAGAATTACTTCTGCTCTAACCAATTGAAGCGAGTGCCAGCATTTTTATAGATTAATTTATTTTAATGGTTGTAAACTTTCTTGTGACTTAGGGTGCTTGTAAATGCAGCCTTTAAAAGACCTTTTTAAAAAGTCTTTGTGCCACATTGAATGCTGGCAGGAAAGGAAACTAATCATAACTAAGCTCTTTAGCTACAATAACATAATAAGACAACAAACCAATATACTGTAGTTGGCTTTCTTGTGATTATATTGTGGTTTACCATTTGGGGCTTAAGAACTTTTACTTACCACTGTTTATTACCTTACTTTTAAAAATATGTATTAAAAATAATATATATGCATTTAAAAGTACAGTAAGTCATCAGTTAATGTCATTGATAAGTTCTGCAACTTTAAGTGAAATGACATATAAACAAGCCAGTTTTACCATAGACTAATTGATATAAACAAGAGTTAAATGCCTGTGACATCTCATCAACATTATAATGGAACAGCCTTGAACAGAATATTGGAGGGCCTCCTGTATTGTAAAATTAGTATTATATAATTCACATTTCCTGCGTTTTCTTTCTCCTCACTGCTGTAATTTGAATATGTATAAGTATAAATAGGGATATATGGTGTTTAACTAAAACTTGATTTCACAATTTGTAATACTTTATGCTGATAATTATTTTAGTAAAATAACATGTTTATGTTGCTGTTACTAGGTTTGTTTACCTATAACAATTATTAATTTATTGCCTAATTTGCCAGAAAAGATAGTATGGTTTAATAGAAAGAGCACTGGCCTGGAATTCAAGAAACATGAGCTGTAGAATCAATTCTAGCAATAACTGACAGATAAGTCAGTTAATAAACACTGGACCTATTTTCATCATAAAAAAATGAGATTTGATTAAGGTAATTTCTGAATTATTTTCAGAACAGCCTAGAAAAAGGTAGTTCCACTAACATTTGCTCAGTAGATCTAGAAAATACAGCTTTTAGGAATAAAATAATAAAAACTTTTAGACTTTACTAGTATCTGTTTAAGATAATAGTAAAAATTATATCAATTATATAGCATTTATAATTAGTTCTTAGTTCTTTTATCAAATTAACTAATTGTTTCATTTTCATTCTCAGAACTCTTTAAAAAATCTATTAACTTGTTCTGAAGACTGGTGCATCTTTTGCAAGTAGACTTTCTAGCACTGTATTGGGTGCTGTGAAATATAAAACACTAGGCCAGTGATGGCAAACCTATGAACTCATTTTTTTGGTTGATTTTTCTTTGTTAAATGGTATTTAAATATATAAAATAAATATCAAAAATATAAGACTTTGTTTTACTATGGTTTGCAAATATCAAAAAATTTCTATATGTGACACAGCACCAGAGTTAAGTTAGGGTTTTTCAAAATGCTGACACGACGAGCTCAAAAGGTTCACCATCACTGCACTAGGCAGTGGTTCTCAACCTTCCTAATACCGCAATCCTTTAATACAGTTCCTCATGTTGTGGTGACCCCAACCATAAAATTATTTTCGTTGCTATTTCATAACTGTAATTTTGCTACTTTTATGAATCGTAATGTAAATATCTGATATGCTATATGTGTTTGCTGATGGTCGCAACTCACAGGTTGAGAACCGCCGAGGCCCGGTGCATGAATTCGTGCACCAGCGGGGTCCCTCAGTTTGGCCTATTGGATTGGGCCGAAACTGGCTCACCGACATCCCCCAAGGGAGTCCCAGATTGTGAGAGGGTGCAGGCCAGGCCAAGAGACCCCAGCGGTGCACTATCGGGGCCGAGGAGGAACATGGGAGGTTGGCCAGTCGGGTAGGGCATGTCTGGCCTTTCTCACTCAGTCCCGATTGGCCAGACCCCAGCAACAAGTTAACCAACTGGTTGGAGTGCCTGTCTCCTGGTGGTTAATGCACGTTATAGCAACTGGTCGACCTGTCGACTGCCTCCTGGTGGTCAGTGCACGTCATAGCAAACAGTTGAGCGATCTTAGTATATCATTAGCATATTACACTTTGATTGGTTGAACGGACGACCAACTGGACACTTAGTATATTAGGCTTTTATTATATAGGATGGTCATTACCCTTAAAGAACCTTTTATAAGGCTGGGAAACAGGAGAAAATGCATATGAGTAATTTGGGAAAAATACTCATCAGAAAGTGATAGTGTCAAAAGAGCAGTACCCTTTATTGTATCAGGTGAGAGAAAGAAAACTGGGGATTTAAGTGGATAGAAAAGTCTTTATAAAGGAACATTGAAGAATAGTTAGGTTTGGGATAAGAAGGAAGAGCTATTTAGGAAGGGGACTAGCCTCAGCAAAATATCATGATAACAGAAATATTGTCATCATTCTCCCTCTTTGTCCCTAAAATTTTTGAACCAAGAAATCACCTTTTTGCCAGTTCTTAGATTTAAATTGAGGCTGGGAGAGCTATCCATTTCTATTTCCCTATAAGACATATTAGGTTTTCTGCATTTTGGATATATGTAAAATACATTTTAAAGGTATATAAAGTAATCATAATAAAATTACAATGTTTGGAGACTATTAAGTGGTATGGTGTTAAAATGCAGTCTATGTATCCTATGTAATAAAAGCCCAATATGCTAAGTATCCGGTTGCCCATTCAACCAATCAAAGCATAATATGCTAATGATATGCTAAGGCCGCTCAGTCGCTCATTATGAAGTACACTGACCACCGGGGAGCAGACAGTCGACCAGTTGCTATGACGTGCACTGACCACTAGGAGAAAGATGCTCCGACTGGTAGATTAGCTTGCTGCTGGGGTCCGGCCAATCGGGACTGAGCAAGACAGGCCAGACATGCCCTGGAGCCCTCCTGTGTCCCTTCCTGGCCCTGATCATGCACCGTTGGGGTCCCTAGGCCTGGCCTGCGTCTTCTCACAATCTGGGACCCCTTGGGGGATGTTGGAGAGCCAGTTTCAGCCCGATCCCATAGGCCTGGCCGAGGGACCCCACTGGTGTAAGAATTCGTGCACTGGGCCTCTAGTATCTTTATACTAGTAAACCTTTAAAAAAGATAGCCTTTCACTACAAATTTTTAATTTGATCAAGTCTGTTATTTGCTTTTATCAAAACTCCATTACAGTCTAATCACCATTACCTATTGCATTTAGCTTGCTATAAGAGATTTTATCTTCTATTTATACTTCAGTTTCTCAGTTTACTTTTGTTGTGATTGTTGGCTGTAAAATTTAGATCTTGAGGAAATGGTTAGTTTTATGTATTATACAACAAGTAGTACATCTGTCTATATGAACATGTATTCTTAATGTCCTGTCACCATGCCTAAAATAAAATTGAATCAGAGCTAAGGACTATAACATTTTGTTTTGGGGCTGGTATTCTAGCATAATTATTCCTAATAGAATATTTAATTCTAGATTTGGGAATATGTCCTAGAGTATTGAGGCTACTGGGACAGACTTTTTTTTTTAATATGTTTTTATTGAGTTCAGAGAGAGGAAATGAGAGGGAGAGAGAGGGAAGAGGGACGAGGAGAGACGGAGAAGGGGGAGAGAGAGAGAGAGAGAGAGAGAGAGAGAGAGAAACATTGATGAGAAAGAAATATTAATTGGCTGCTTCCTGCACTATTCTTCAGTGTTCTTTTATAAAGACTTTTCTATCCACTTAAATCCCCAATTTTCTTTCTCACCTGATACTGGGGATTGAAACCAGGACATGTGCCCTGACTGGGAATAGAACCAACAACCTCTTGGTGCATGGGGACATTCCTCAGCCAACTAAGCCTTTCTGGCCGGGCCAGAACGGATTTTGTTCCTGTGTTTAAAAGTCCTAAAACTGCTGAATATATTTGAATTATCTTTAACTTTTGGTTAGGGTTCTTACTTGCAACCTATTAGTCTCACTAAATGGTTATAATTTCCATTATGAAGTGCCTTTATATGTATTCTGCATCTTTACCATATATTTGGAAGGAAAATATAAAAAATGCAGCAAGGAGAAATACCCAATTGCCTATCAAGGAGAAGAAAAGGAGGACTAGTTGGTGCCTTTCTCCTCTTTTCCCTGGTCTCCTATGTATCCTGGACTGAGAGGAAATAATTACTGTGATTTAGACTTCAGCAGCTGCCTTGTTGCCCAATTTCCCAAGGGTCATTTTAATTTCTTCTCCATCATCACTTACAAATCCCTTATCTGTAAGGAAATAAATATATATTATATATTACATATATATTCTTATGTGTATACTAAACATTGGGATTTATTAGTTTTTACAAGATTTTAAGAATCAGAAAAAAATGAAAGATTAAATTTGAATAATTCTTTTTACTTTTACCTTTCATTTCTGTTCATTTAGAATGTATTATGATACTGTGAGGTTTACATACCTAGTCACTATGGAGAATGCAAAGACAGTCTCAGGGGGATAAGACATACATATGAACACAAACTGCCTTATAAAGCAGGTTTTGATTGTGATTGATAAAAATGAATTCTGTAGAAGTTTCATTAGCTAGAGGCTTTTTTTTCTTCAATTTTTCTGCAAAGTTTTTCCAGCAAAAAAAGGTTCATTTGTACGAAGTTCTGAGAGAGGAGATCAGTAATGAAGGTGATGGGAAAAGGTATTTCAGGTGAAGGAAATAGTATGACTCATGCAACAGAAAAAGAAAACAGAGCTTACTTTAGGAGCAGCAAGTTGATCAATTTGGCCAAAGCAATAGTTTCCTTTGATGAAATAATAAAGGTCAGTCTGGGGTGACCAGAATATAATGGCCTAAAAATACAGGCTAAAATACTAATTTTTTATGTTGTATGTCACAGGGAGCCATTGAAATAAATGCCATATCAATATAATCTTAGGAAAAACTTGTCAGTTATAAAGAGGATCCATCCAAAGAGAGAATAGAGTCATAGAGTACAGTTAGCAGGTTACTGTGATATGGTGGTTTTGAGATGACAAAGAACTGCACCAAGATACTGGTGTTACCAAATTGCAGAGAATGGAAAGAATGTAAGGGGGAAACAATGCAAGTGAGTGAGGATGGATGGTACAGGGCAGGCAGTTTTGAATAAGACAGTACGACCTTGAAGACCTGACATTCTAGTCAGAGAGACAAATATTCAAAACCTGATTACAACACGTAGTATGAAAAGTGTTAATTGAGTACATACATAAGACAGTGACTGGTTCTAAACAGGGCATATGTTGCAAAGAAAGTTCCTCAAAGGAGGTGACACAATTGGGAATTTGGGTAGGAAAGGAGGGTCTTGTAGGCAGTAGGAAACCATACAAAGACTCAAAGTTATGAATGGGCTTAGAATTGTGGGTAGTTCAATATAACTAAGGTTTATGGTAATCTACAGGAGTGGTAGATTTATTGAATTGAGACCTTGAGGAGAGGTGAAATTCACAGATCAGGCAGACTTTGAACCAGGAGAACTAAGAAGTTGGAAGGAGAAGAAACTAAGTGGATGGGATGGTGATTAATTTGATTCTGATCTCTTCCTTTCCACTAATAATTCAGCAAGTATATACTAAGCACTTACCATGTGCAAGGCACTGACCGAGGCACTGGGAGAGCAGTGGTGAACAAAACAAAGCCTGTGCTCGTATGGAGCTTCCATGCTAGTGTGGGAGACAGAGCACACGCAAAATAATCAAATGTCATGTATAATGTCAAGTAGCAATGTTTGCTATCCTATATAATAAAAGGCTAATATGCAGATTGTCCCCTTGGGAGTTCAGCTCAGAGACCAAGAGTTCGATCACTCGTTATAACATGCGCAGACCACCATGGGGCAGCACGGAACACAGCTGGTGACCAGCAGCAGGGTGCTGAGGAAGTGAAGGAAGGAGTAGGTGGGGAGGCCAGGAGACGGGGAACCTGATTGGCCCTGATCGATGGCCAGGCCTAGGGACCCTACCCATGAACAAATTCCATGCACCTGGCCTCTAGTGAAGAAAATAAAGCAGGGTAAGGGAGTAGAGAATGA